TTGTATGTCATAGCTGCACATCCTTCTAGTTGCTGTATGTGGGACGTGGCCTCAGCATGGCTGGAGAAGCAGTGCGTCGGTGCGCGCCCGGGATCCGGACCCGGGCCGCCAGCAGCGGAGCGTGTGCACTTAACCGCTAAGCCACGGGGCCAGCCCATGGCCTTCCATTTTAACTGGCCCTCTATGCACCCTCTGAAGCGTCCCTAGCTCAGTTTTCTTTTATAGTTTCCATAGTAACGATTTCAAGCTTCCTCCCCTTTCCTAAATTTTCCAATCCTCTATCTTCTTCTTCACTTGGGGCATGGACCTTCTCTGCATCAAAAAAATATACAGTTCGTTTGTCAACTTCCTCAACTTTACTTACCAACCCACTCACATCTTTTCTCCTTCCATTTCTCCTATAACAAGACCACAGACCTCTCTGTCTAAAGCTAATCTTTTCACCATGGTTCTACACTCTATACACTGCCTCCTGAGGAACTGAACACTGCCATATCATCAACATTTCCCTTGCCATCTTCTCTTTACTATCAGAATTTAAACATGCTACAGTCATTCTCATCCCCAAATTAAAATCCCTTAATTCTAATCTCCTTTAGTTCCCACTTTATTCCATTTCCCAGTTTGCTTCCTAAAAGAGCTGTGTACACTCTTTGCCTCTATGTCCTCACCTCCACTCACTCAGTTCACTGCAATCTGGCTTTTCCCAACCACTCCTCCGTGCGCCCAGGATCCGAACCTGGGAACCCCGGGCTGCTGAAGTGGGGCGCAAGCACTTAACCGCTACGCCACCAGGCAGGCCCCCAAAGCAGCTCTTTGTTGCTAAGCACAAACAGCCTTTTTCAGTCCCTCTCTTACTTCTTCTCTTGGCCGCCTGTCACCCTCATTCATCATTCCCTCTTCAAGCACTTCTCCATTGGTTTCTCTGACTTCTTGCTCTCATCCTGTCCTGCTGGTCTTCCTCCAGTTTCCTTCACACTCAGCTGCCTCTGCCCACCCTTCAGATGTTGATATTCCAAAGGTTCTCTCCTTGGCCCTCTTCTCAGTCTTTGTGATCTTCATTCTCATGTTTTTGACATGCTGATGATTTCCAAGTCTGTATTTGTAGCCCTGATTGTTCTTCTGAATTCTAGACCTCTAATCTACACCTAGGCTTTAGGTATTTCTCCTGGGATATCTCACAGGCACCTTAACTTCAAATACGCCCAACCAATCCCCTGCACTTGCTCTTCTTCCTTCCTGCAATGCTCTGCCCTCAGATACTGACATGATTGGCTCCTTTGTATCATTTGGGTCTCAGTCCAAATGTCACCTTCTCAGAGGCCTTCTCTTGACTACCTCCTCTCATTTGCCCTTCACACCATTCAATCATAACACAACTACATGGAGTTATTGTATCTACCTATTTATGGCTTGTTTTTCACTATTAAAACGAAAGCTCCATAAGAGCAGAGACACTGTCTATTTCGTTCACCCTACTTATAGCTACAGTGCCTGACATGCAGTAAATCTCAAGAAATACTTATTGAATGAGTAAAAAAGTCCAAATTATGAACGTTGGAAACATTATGCTAAGTGAAAGAAGCCAGTAACAAAAGGTTACATACTGTAACCCATTTATATGAAATGTCCACAACAGGCCGATCTATAGAGATGGAAAGTAGATTAGTGGTTGCCTAGAGCTAGGGAAGGCGAGGAAGATAGGTGTGACTGCTAATGGGTACCGGGTTTCTTTTCAGAATGATGAAAATGTTCTGGAATTAGACAGTGGTAATGACTGTAAAACTCTGTGTATATATTAAAAACCACTGAATTGTACACTTTAAATGAGTAAGTTGTATGTGACTTATATCTTAATAAGGCTGTTAAAAACAACAAAACTCCCAAATTTCCTCCAGACTTGCCCCATCTCCTGTACTCCTTAAGTGAATAACATGACCACGTACCAGTTGCCTACCTAGGAATCCGAGTCACCCTAACATTCCTCTCTGCCCTGCCTTCCCTCCCAACTGCCCCTTCCAATGCATCTGATCAGTTACAAAGTTCTAAAGGTTTCACTTCCTTACTCTCTCAAACCTGTTTCTTTCTATTCCACTGTTGCTCATTTCACTCATTCCAAGCTCTCACTGCTTATTATTTCAATTTCATCCTACTGGATTCCCTCCACTTAATCCACCCTTTCATTCATCTGCTGCACTGCTGCTAGGAGTGATCTTTGATCTTCATAAAACATAATTCGCACTATATCCCAACCCTGCTTAAAATCCTTTGTTGGCTCCATACAACTGAGGATAAAGGCCTCAAATCCTTAGTACATATAAAAAAAGCCCTTCATAAGATGGACCCTGATAGCCTCTCCACCTCATCTGCTAATCTTTCAGTCACAGCCATGAGGAAACTCGCCACAAACTGTGACCACTCTCATTTTCACACGTGCCACTTCCTCTACTGGAACATCCTTGCCCCCACACTTTACCTGTCCTTAATTCCTTCTCATTCTTTAGGACTCAGCTCACGCATCATATTTTCCAGGACGCATGAGATGGCATTTTCTTCTCCTCAATCTGTTAGAAATCCGTTTTTCACACTCTCACGGCACTCAGTGCAACGTCCGTCTATACTCTTATAACAGTTACCATTTACTGAGCACCGACGTGACCTTTACCCCTCACAATAAACGTTGCTATATTATTTTCACGTGAGGAAACAGGTTCAGTGAGGCTGCTGTCCTAGTAAGTGATAGAGCTGGGACTGGACTTCAGCTCTGACTCCAAAGTCATGCTCTCCTACTATTCCAAACTCTCTCCAGTACTTTTCATTTTGCACCGCAATTCCATTCAAAGGGTGAATCCAACTAACTCAGCCTCTGTCCTACTTATATCCCCAGCGCCTAGTGTGGTGCTTGACACTTGCTGGGTGTTTGCTGAACACAGGGAGAGGTGACAGGTGTGAACTAAGCAGTGGGAAACTTGTGTTATGTCCCCAGGAGGTGCTCAATGAGTCCTTATTGAATGAATGTGTAAAGGAGATGCTTCCTACCTTTTGAAAATGCACATTCATGTGGTGCCAACTAATATCTAACAACAAACATGTTTGTGGATTCGAATTGCCCATGGAGAGGCATAAGTTCTCCACATTTATCTCCCTTTCTCAGCAGCATTCCAGATCTGTGAAGTGCTCCCGACAGAAGGCCATCTCCATGGAAAGACCAGCCTTCTTCCAGACAATCCAGGGCTGAGATTTTGTCCTTACCACCTCTGCTCTTCTCTCCAACCTTCTACCTTCCTTATTCTGCTAGACTCCGAAGTCAGAACATCAAAACTCATAGCAAATCCCTAATTTATTTCCTCTCTCACATCCTGGCAAATGTAAAAAGTCCTGGAGGTAGCAAGCAACAGACTGAGTTCCTCCTCGCACTGCTACAGCCTTATCCAGGTCCTCATCTCGTCCTGCCGTCATCAGCAGCACCGGTTCCCTCAGGGCTGGCCGCTCTCTAGGTACAGGCGTCCAGGGCCCCAAAGACCGCCCCCCAACTCCAACATTCTCTCCCCTGAGCTTGAAGAAAAGCAAAATCCCAGTCAACCTAGCACGCCCCTTCCGATCAACAGATCTCCAAACCCCGTCAGCCAGGCTGCGGACCAAGGGCAGGCGGCCGAGGCACGCCGGCGCGGGGGTGACTGAGGAGCCAACCACCCGGTTACTCCTCGCCTCTCGCAGCCCGCGGCTTCCTGCCCTCTCTCACTGGTCCCTTACAGGGGGCGGATCAGCAGCTGGTCACTCTCTTCAGCAGGGATCGCAGACATCTCGGAAGTCTGAAGGAGAGACCAGGCGAGGAACAGGTCGCCGGAGCCTTCCTAAATTGGAAGCACAGCCACCGGGACCCACAAACAGAACGCCATCCACCAAGAACACAACTTCCGGCACTCCGGCGCCCGCGGCACTAGGCTCCTCCCCTCCACTTCCGGTCGGAGAACCCCGCTCGCGAGGTTCCGCCCCACAGGAGGTCAGAAACCTGGGGCGAGGTCAAGACTGCGCCTGCGCGACGTGCCGGAGGCGGGGCCTGGCGGTAGGGGCCAGGGGGCCCGGAAAAGCTGGCTCTGGACTAAGCACTGGAATGGCTGCTGCGACGGCTGCTGCTGGGGCGGTGGGTGTCTGACCCCGACCGCAGACGACCCCAGGGATGGGCCAGCGGCTGTGAGATGAGAGCCCTGCCCTCGCTGCGCCCTGGCGGAGCCTGGCCGGGAACGCGGGCCCCGAGGGCGACGCCGGCGGGGAGGCCCGCGGTGGGGCGGATGGGTGGGGCCGCGGGGGCCGCGGGGACCCGCCCTCCTCTGGTCGGGGACCCAGGCCCCGAGGCGGCTTGGGGTGGGCGGCGGGAGCCGAGAGCGGGCCCGGCCTGAGGGAGGAGGCAGTGCCCCGGTGCCGATTCCTGTCTGGGGTGGGACCGCAGCACCTGTGACGACGGATGTCGTGTGCGGAGCGGCCCCCTGGGAAGGGCGACGGGAATGGGGCATCCGCGGGGCTGCTGCCCGTGTCGGGCTCTGCCTTGTGGGGCGGTGAGGAGCGCTCACTTTTTGTGCCGGCTCCTGTTGGTTTTCCCTCCGCGTCCACCCCCATCCCTCACTGCAGAGGGCAGAGGTCGTGTCTGTCCTGTTTACTGTCATCCTGCGCAGCAGCACGTGGGAGGCGCTCACAACAGTGAGGAATACGTGGGGAGCAGGGTGGGCTCTGGAAAGAGCTTTGGAGCTAGTCTGTGTAGGTTCCAGACTTGGTCCCACCCATTATTAGCTTGGAGTCCTTGGGCGAGTCCTTTAATCTCGTAGCTTTGGCTTCCTTGTTGAAAGGGGCTGTAATAGGGTAGCCTTGCCGGTCTGCAGTATAAGGGTTAGAGGTGCACAGTAGAGCACCTACACTGGGCTGCACATGCAGCTGTTCAGTACAGGGGAGTTGTTATTTTGGTGTCATCTCCCAAGAAGGTTCTCCAGTTCACTAAGCATGTCCTCTGCCAGACTGTGCCAGGCGTTGGGTACACAGAGATGAATAACCTTGCTCCTGCCTTTGACGAGCTCACAGTTCATAGAGTGAGATAGTCACAAGTAGACAATAGCAGACTTTCCAGTGTATGCTATGATATGCTATGATCAGGGTGTATACCCAAGCTGTGGAGGACAGGTCCCTAAGCCCAACCTGGAGGTCCAAGGGGGGCTTTCTAGAAGAGAAGAAGCCTGAACTGAGTCTTGAAAGCAGAGTGAATGCAAGGTGGAAGGAGATTCCAGGCAGAGTGAATGGCGAGAGCAAAGCATGGCAGCATAGAGCATAGTGCCTGCTGAGAACCTCCAGCAGCTTGGCATTCCTTAGAGATTAATCAAGTGTGAAGCTGGTTGTGAGACTGGAGAGGTAGGTAGGAGCCAGGTCATGGAGGATCTTGTGTGTCCTGGTGAAGAGGTTTTGACTTCAGTCTCTAACTTTGGGGAGCCAGCGAAAGATTTTAAGCAGGTTGGCGGCGTCAGATTTGAGTTTTAAAGAAATCATTTTAGCTGGAGCTTGGTGGTAGATTTAAAGGGGCAAGGAGTCCAGTTGGGACGTGAATGCCTTAAATTGCATGCCAGACTTTGTGCTTGTGTGCATTTTTATGGGTTGAGGATCCACTGCTTTCTTCAGATAATGAACAAGTATTTATATACAGCAATGGTCTAGTGATGATGCCAGGGCCCTGTTAGAGACGTGGGTGAGAGAACTCTTCAGGCGGTGTATTCAGTGGGTCTTGGTGCCTGATTGGATGTGGAGCCTGGAGGACAGTGAGGGGTGGATGATTTCCTGGTTTCTACCAGAAATAATATAATTTACTGACAGGGAGAGGAGAGGAGAGGAGCAGATAGGGAGGGGAAGCTGAGGGGTTCCATTTTAGGCATTTTTGCATTTGATGAATCTGGAACATCCAGATGATCATCAGTATCTTTAGCCTCATTTCTATGCATGAATAATTTAGAGACAAGAATGATTTGCTTAAGAACATGCCCCAAATAGCAGCAGATATCAAAGACGTTAATAAAAGCTTTTTTCCCACTGAGCTCCTAGATTGATGATGAAAAGAAAGTAGTTGCAAAGGCTTTCTAGTATAATGTGGTGATTTTCAAATCATTCTAGTATTCTAAGGATTTGAAGAGATGCTTCAGGATTTCACTAACAATAGAATCAAACTTTATTTTTAAATCACATTTTAAATTGTTATATATATTGAAATATGTATTTATATATACTTAAAATATAATGTGCTTAAATATGCTGTACACCATCATTTTAGCCCATCAGAGACCACTAACATGCTACTTTATGGTGCTAGGTTAACCTAGTTTTGTGCAGACCTGGAATAAAGCTCTCTTCCCATCTCTTTCTTACTGAGAAGCATCCTGTGATAGCCAGGCTATCATTTGCAACAAATTATTCACAGTGACTTCTAATCGGTCTCCCTCTTTTTACTCTTACCCTGTGTAGTTAGTCCTCTACCCGGCAGCCAGAGTCATCTTTCTAAAACAGAAATCTGATTGTATCACTTGACTGCTTTTTAAAAAGCCTCTAGAGTCTTCCCTTTAAACCCAAAATAAACCCCAAACTTTTGTCAGGGCCTCTGAAGCCTCCTGCGGATCCTTCTCCTCATCCCTCACTCTCCCTCATGCTCCTGCTCTAGTCCTGTTGGCCTCAGGCGTGTTCCCTCAGGACCTTTGTACTTGCTGTACTCTCTACCCAAAATGCTTTTCCTTCACGTCTGTGACTACCCTCACTTCGCTCAGGTCTTAACTCCCACTGCCTCAGAGCATCTTTTTCTTTCTGAAATACTCCCCCTTCCTTCGGTCACTTGTATCTCCTTAACTTGCTTTAGTTCCCCTCATAGCGATGATTGTTTCCTAACAATGTGTTTTATGTCTGGTTTTCTTGTGGGTCTGTCTCCTCTCTCTGAAAATGAGCTCCCTGAGGTCAGGGGCTTTGTCTGTCTTGTTCACGGATGTATCCCTAGCACCTGGTGGGTGCTCACTGACCACTTAAGACTGAATCAGTGAATCAGAGTTCCTTGCTATTCCGCAGATTAAGCAAAAATATAGAAATAAGTGGGATGATGAGGCTGATTAAAAAGCTTGGGCTCAGGGGTAGGTCTTGGGTAAGTGGCTCAAGGTCAGACTCTAGTGAGTGGACTTACGGTGGGGTCTCCAAATAGGATGGGAGAAACTGTTCCTTGAGCGCGGACATTCACTGACCACTCTACAACTTACCCATTCTTCTTCCTCCATCAGGTACCTTGGTTTTCTGACAAGAATTGACCATGTCAGAATGAAAGGAAGTGATCTGTACAGACTGCTCTCTGTGGAACCTCTGAAGACAATAAATAGTGTTCAATTCTATTAGTAAGCAGATTCCCTTGTTCCTTCTACAGAATCCAATCTTTGGTAAAAATTTGTTAGGTTATCTTAGTCATAAATCCTCTTGAAAGATGGGTCACAGTTTCCTCATCTGTAAAATGGAGATTATAACCTACCTTCTGTAAGCCCCCTGAGGATCGGGGCCTAGAGCCCTGAGCATAGTATATGGCACAGACGAGACCCTTAGAAAACATGGGGAACAAATGAATGTGTCCCCATGTTGCTGTGAGGATAAAATGAGACAGTGTATTTGGAAGTACTTGAACTATGAAACATTGTGCAGGCTAGTTAATAATTTTCCAAGTATAATATATGTGCTTCCATGAAGTGGACAAGGATAAATCATTCATTTAAAAAAAGATATATGTAAGACTGACTCTGGGAAACTTAAGGTCACTTCCTTCCCTGGCCTTACTGGAGCGAGGAGGAATGTTCTTATGTCAGCTTTTACCTAAAGATAGTTCCAAATTTCAAGAAAAATGCACATTTCTGAGAGGTACGTATGTCTTCTGTTCTTAGCCCGACCATTTACAGACCGTGAACCTGAGCCAGTCACTGAATCTCAGTATCTTGGTTGGTAAACTAATTTCACGTATTTTACTAACCTCTTGAATTGGTTAAAGAGAAGGAAGGCACTTGAATAGCTTGAGAACTAGAGGACATATGTCTGTTACTTCTGAGAACAGGGCTTTTCACACCTCTAGATATGACAAGAAGGTTTTTGCCTTTTTGGTTCATTGGATTAGATTTTTGAAATTTAAAAAGAAAGAATGAAAAAGAATAGTATACACATTTTGTGGTCAAAGGAAAATATGTTTTAAGTAAGAGGAATACACCATGGAACTGGAAGGAATTGATGCTTTTTATTCCTATTATGCATGAAGTGATTTAAAGTTGTTTTTCTTGATGTGACTAACTAACATTTGTTCTTCTAGGGGAGCTCCTCTGGATCAAGCTATGGTGGAAAATGTTTCGGAAAGGGAAAAAAAGACACAGTAGTAGCAGTTCCCAAAGTAGTGAAATCAGTACTAAGAGCAAGGTAGGGGAGATGGAATTAGGAAGGAATCATAAAGCAGTGAGAATTTTGTTTCTTCTAACTGATACTGCATAAAGGATACTAACCATGGCAGACAGACCTCCTGATGTTCTTCAGACTAGGTGTGTTTTAACATTCATTTTTTGCAGTGGAGACACATTCTGTGCTTGATTTAGTTTTATTTTGTTTTGGTAGATTTTCTGAAATTCTTAAATCCACTAACCTAGATGGGACAGGACCTATGAATGGTCTCATTGAAACAAACACTGATTTTAAAATTTTTTACATGATAGAAATTACAGGCAGTTAAAGATCTGTGGTGTGTGTGCATAACTGTAGTTCTATCTACTTTTCAGTGAGTTAGTTGGATCCCAAGGCAAATGCCATGATTAGAACCCTTGTGAAGTAGAGTATTTGAACGTGAAGGGACCTCAGAGTCCTGAGTCCTGGACCTGGTCCTGTGGTTCCCATGTTTTTACTACTACAGAGTGTTTTGTTCGTTTTCCACCCTTGTGAGCTCTGTTTTAAAAGACGTGTGCTCAGTGCTGGGACTCAGCGAGGCAGGAGAGGAGCCCACAGCACAGCATGAGGGAGTGCCCCGCCTCCAGGCGGATGCCTCACACTACCCCGTGGGTGCCACACTGAGTAGTAACGGCCACACCCCGGTGAATGAAAACACACGTGACAGCCATTTGGGATTTCCAGTCAGTGCTAGCACTGAGCTGATGTGCTAGTGAAAAGCACAGAAACTGGACATTTTAGGAATCCTGTGCAGTCTTAGAGTGGGAAAATCAACAGTCTTCTTTATGGGTTTTGAACTCCCAAAGCCAGTCAAGAACCTCCCTGCTGTAGCCTTCCCCCCGTTACCTTAAGTGTGAGGACCCCAGCCTGGGAATCAGTGGTCTGGCCCAGCTGCTTGTTTTCTAGATTAGAAAGTGGATAAAGGAAGACATGATGACTTGCTGCTGGCAGAGCAGGACTAGAGCCCTGATTTTCTGATTCCTAAAGGACCTTGCTAACTCAGGCAAGTTGGGTGGTGGGGCGGGAGAGGTGCAGAAGGGACCACATGCCACAGAGTGAGGGTCTTATCCTGAAAATGATGGTGAGCCTCGAGTGGTTTCTAAGCAAAGTTGTGACTGTTAGATTTGTGTTTTAGGATGATGTAAGCTTTTGTTGTTGTATATTCTGAACATGGGAAAAATAGACCAGTTTCACCCTTCTTGTTCTCCTTGTTCAGAGGGTCACCAGGTACTGGTGTTTTCCTGTCTGGAGGGGTAGTTTGAAGCACAAAAACTCACTCTGTTACTCACTTTAGGAGTTGTGCTCATCCCAGAAGCCAGTCTGCATTTGTAACAGCGTCTGAATTCCTACTCCCCTCCCTCCACCCATTGAATATATAGGTTATTTCCAGTTTTTTAGTACCACACAAACATTATGATGAACATCTCTATACATACAGCTCTGTTCTCATTTTAGATTAGATTCCAAGACATGCAATTAGGAAAAAGGGAAGAAACACATTTAAGACTTGATACACTTTTGCATTCACCTTGATTCACTTCTTAAACGTTTAAAAAATTTGAGTGTACTTTTTAAATTTAATTTTGATTTGAAGTGCAAAAAAGTGACTAAATTTTTTTTTTATAATTTTATTTATTTATTCATTTTTTCCCCCAAAGCCTCAGTAGATAGTTGTATGTCATAGCTGCACATCCTTCTAGTTGCTGTATGTGGGACGCAGCCTCAGCATGGCTGGAGAAGCAGTGCGTCGGTGCGCGCCCAGGTGCGTGCCCAGGATCCGAACCTGGGCCGCCAGCAGCGGAGCGCGCGCGCACTTAACTGCTAAGCCACGGGCCGGCCCAAAACAAGTGACTAAATTTTTTTTTTTTGTGAGGAAGATCAGCCCTAAGCTAACATCTGCCAATCCTCCTCTTTTTGCTGAGGAAGACTGGCCCTGGGCTAACATCCGTGCCTGTCCTCCTCCACTTTATATGGGACTCCGCCACAGCATGGCTTGACAAGTGGTGCGTCGGTGCGCGTCAGGGATCCGAACCCTGGGCCGCCGCAGCGGAGCATGCACACTTAACAGCTACGCCACTGGGCCGGCCCCAAAAGTGACTAATGTTTGAATGAAAAGTTTTCATAGAATGTTATTTCTAAAGAAATTAAGCACACGGAGAGTATAAAATTCTGTAGCACAAACTATACTAACATGTAGGATTCTTTGTATTTTGCTTAACAATTTTGGTGGTTTTTCTTTGCAATTCACCTTGATAGTTATGCTCTGCTCTGCAGGCAGCCTGTGTAGGCGGCCGAGGGCCAGTGCTGATCGGAGTAACTGCAGCCGCCATGGGACTGGAACCAGGTGTCCTGGATTAGAGAGCTAGGGTATTTACTAGATGTAGCCTTGGGTAAATCACTTCACATCTCTGGCTCTGTGCTCATTGTTAAACAGGATAACACTCCCTGCCTGCCTTCTGCACAGGGTGCTTTTTGAGTTCAGTGGAAATAACACGAAAGCAAGGTGTAGATTTTCACATGTACCAGGCAACTTGTAAGGAGACAGAGGTAATGGCTTTGATTTAGACTGGGAATGTTGGCACGTGTATCCAGTACTGTGTTATGGGAAGAGCAGTTGGGATTATCTGTTTTTTGAAGTTCGTTATAGAATTTGTCTTTAGAAAAGTCTGTCACAGTCGATCTGCCTGAATAATTGAGCTGACTGTGTATGTGTTGATTCAACTGTAATACGTAAATAATTTGAATGTTTGGTAGAGAACTTGAGAAGATAGGGCTTCTAATTATGTTTATATTTTGTGTGTTTGTCTGTTGTTTCTCAGTCTGTAGATTCCAGCCTTGGGGGCCTTTCACGATCTAGCACTGTGGCCAGCCTTGATACCGATTCCACCAAAAGCTCAGGTACAGAAAAGGATGGGATCACTTATTGTCTAAGGCTTTTAAGTGATGTTCATGTAGTTTTACCATGGTAGCACAAGGAGTTCTTGAGTATTTGGAGTTTTTCTTTCTCTCCTCTGCCATTTTTTTTAAGTTTGGTTTTTTTTTTTTTTCGTGAGGAAGATTGGCCCTGAGCTAACATCCCGTTGCCAATCTTCCTCTTTTTGCTTGAGGAAGAGTGTCTCTGAGCTAACATCCGTGCCAGTCTTCCTCTATTTTTTGTATGTGGGACACTGCCACAGCATGGGTGTAGGTCTGCACCGGGGATCCGAACCTGTGAACCCTGGGCTGCCAGAGCGGAGCGCGCGAACTTAACCACTGCGCCACTGGGCCAGCCCCTCTCCTCTGCCATTTTTGACAAGAGTTTAGAAATGGCCCGAGATCTGGTGGAACATGGGTTGGGGGTGTAAAGTGGTTGGTGAAAACCACTGCCTTGGTTTGCATGTTGGCAAACTGCTCTTAACTGGTACTAGAGCAAATGTGCCGAAAACATCATGGTAACAATTTAGAAGTTTCAAAATAGCTTTCTAAGAAATGGGGTGGCAGAGCATGAATTATGTTGTTTATGGGGTGTAAGACAGATGTCTCACTGACTAAAAGGATTAAGGAGCCATATACCCAGAGGTACGCTAGCTCGTAAACATCAGGAGCACACGGTAATTAAGGGTAGCCTCTATTACAGACCCTTGAAAACATTTATGCAGCCATCCAAAGTGAGTAGCTCTTTAGAAATCAAAAGGTGGCTTCTAACCCATGTATTAGCTAGTGTCTAATTGGAAATATACTATATCCATTTTCTTGTCTAAAATCCTTCCCCTTTTCCTTTCAGGATCATGGACCAGTCAGGCTATAAAAAGTGGTGGTGGGGGAGGGGCGGTGGAGAGAAGAAACATATGATGTAAAAGAGAATGTAGTAGTGTAAGGTCTATTATCTTTACTTCCAGATGCCTTTATTTTTTTTATTTTTTTTTTTTTTTAAAGATTTTATTTATTCAGTTTTTCCCCCCAAAGCCCCAGTAGATAGTTGTATGTCATAGGTTCACATCCTTCTAGTTGCTGTATGTGGGACTCGGCCTCACGTTGGACGGAGAAGTGGTGCCTCGGGGCGAGCCCGGGATCCGAACCCGGGCCGCCAGCATCAGAGCGCGCGCACTTAACCGCTAAGCCACGGAGCCGGCCGAGATGCCTTTAAAATATTAAAAATGTGGATTTTTTTTAATACATAAACACAACCTAAAAGTAATCCCATAGCATTCCCTTCCCATGGCAGATGTCGTAAATACTTTGTGGTAATTTTGCATTGTATTTTATAGCACATGCATAGTTCTTCAACCTGTTAACATCTGTTATGCTAAAGGACTTCTTGTCCAGCATTATTCCTTCTACATTAAATTGTCTGGGGCCGGCCCCGTGGCATAGCGGTTAAGTACTCGCGCTCCGCTGTTGGTGACCCGGGTTCAGATCCCGGGCTCGCACTGAGGCACCGCTTGTCAGGCCATGCTGTGGTGGCGTCCCATATAAAGTGGAGGAAGATGGGCACGGATGTTAGCTCAGAGCCAGTCTTCCTCAGCAAAAAGAGGAGGATTGGCATGGATGTTAGCTCAGGGCTGATGTTCCTCACACACACACAAAAAAATTGTCCGGTCTTTCCTGACTGAATGGTAGAGGTAGACCAGGAAAGAAAGTTAAAACTTAACATGGTAAAGAGGGAGAAGAAACCAAAAAATAATTAAATGTCATTATGCAGTTTAAAGGTGCTCAATCATTATCTAGTTGACATTTTAGTTTTCTTGTTTGTTTTGAAATGAAGGATAGCAATACTTAATTTATTCCTATTGAGATTTTTATACATTTAGTATATTGTGAGTCACTGAGGAAAAGGTTAGTGAAATTTTAAGTTCTGTCTCATTACATCAAAAAATTTTGCATTAAAACAATTTTTATTGTTACTGAAGTTTAAGTTCTGATGACACAGTCTGTTTCCTATTTGGGAAGGGGTTGAGGATACCCTGTAATGCAGCTATTTCTTTTGAAGACTTACTATTACATTTTTTCTTTTATCTTTAGGACAAAGCAACAATAATTCAGATACCTGTGTAGAATTTCGAATAAAATACGTTGGTGCCATTGAGAAACTGAAAGTCTCGGAGGGAAGTCTTGAAGGGCCACTAGACTTGATAAATTATATAGATGTTGCCCAGGTAAAAAAACAACAAACAACATTTCAATTAAGTTTCTATAGAGTAAACTCACGGCTTTGGAGAGAGAGGTTTGCTCCTCCAAGTCTTCTCACTGTCTTATCTGAAGCCATGCTTTCATCACTGTTAAAATATTTACTGAGCGCTGTGGTTGTAGGTGCTACAAGGTGCCATGGAGACCGAGTCGCACAGGAACACAGCAACACTGTTCCTTCCTTCAGTCCTTTTTACTTTTTTCTGGGGCTGACTGACCTCCTTGTTTAAATGAGGAGCTGAGTGTGGTGACTGGTTACACACCAGAGGTTAGGCTTTTAAAACAGTCTGGCAAGACCTTACTATATCTCCATTGAACTAGTTTCAGCTCTCTGAATAATCTAGTTCACAGTGGTGCTGACCTAACATATCTATGTATTTGTACCCTGTTTCCCACAAGAATTGAGGTGAGGTGGGTTTCAAAAATATATCCTGGTCAAGAATATAAATAAATCAACATGAAGGAAAATTAAGAATGAAAATTAAGACAAATAAAAGGTGTGAGGTTAGTGTACAAAATATTATAAGGTCTTGATCCTGGCCAAGGTGGAAGTGGATGAACCAAAAGATTTAACACTATACAGTTAGTACGTTGCTTCCTGAGTTTCTAGAAAATGGAATTAAATGTCTTTGTGTTCATTAACAAAGGGATATTACTGCAATGGGAACATTCCTTTATCAGTTCATAGAGTGTTGGGTGCTCTTAGGAATGTATGGTCTCTTAAACCATGGAGAATTCATTAAATACAACGTTTCATATCCTCATGAAAGTAAAAGTCGTCTCTTCTGAGGGAAATCAGCAAATCTAATTTGCCATTTAACGGCGAATTCTTGGTAGTCTGGACTGACATAATTAGTATCCTGCGTTTAATTTGGAATATAAAGTCATTTCAACAATGTGCAAGCAACAACTAACTAATCTAAGTATTGTACTGAAAGGTTGCTAATAAAGTTTCCCCCGAAAACTCAGATTCTTTTGATTCTGATAAGGACTGGTCAATTTCTTATATCACCATAGAATTGGGGCTTCTTACAATTCCATTATTGACAATAGCATTACTATTACCCCATCTTTTGATCTTGGAATGCTTTCAACTACTGTGAGAAATGACTGGCAAGAGGTGACTAGAGCAGTGTGAGGATCAAAATTAAGGTGTCTGGACATAGCTCATTTACCATAATTTCTTTAACGTAGGCAAACAGTTCCACAAAAACATTCACAGTACGAAACATCTACTGATTGCCAACAATATCTTATTTATTTTAGAAAAGACAAGTTAGGCAGTATTCTGACTTAGGAGATAAAACTGGATAATCTGCTAGGGAGAAACCATCAGGTATTGTGTGCTGTTCTACTTAATAGCTCCAAGTACTACTGGTATTTTTGAGAGCCTAATAACCACTCTTTAAGCACTGTTTACTTGCCTGAAGCCCTGGGGCATGGGGAGAACCAGACATATCTAACACTTGGGTAAGATATAGAACAGCTAAGAAAAATGGTTCTAGCAGCCGTGTTTCCTAATCATGTGCTGACGTTAGTATAAGCTTTAAGTATTTTTAAATCTAAATAAGACTTATTTTTCGAATGTAAATATTTTAACCTCACTGGGATCTGTGAGAAGTATCTCAGTTTGTAATTAGGGTTAACACCAAGACAAGGGGATAGGACAATATTCATGGAGTGCATGGATCTGAACTTTGCTCAGATTTGTGAACTGAAGAAAAAAAAAAGGGGCAGGGGAGGATTTTTCTTTGGCCTCTTTGGAGAGATTCTTGCCAGGCTGTTGTGTAATCCACAGTCTTGCAAAGGTTTGGGCCAGATACTAAAATTGACTAATCAAACTTAAGAATGTAACAATTTTTAATGTGTATCATGTACTTTATTTTTACTTTAAAGCAAGATGGAAAGTTGCCCTTCGTTCCTCTGGAGGAAGAATTTATTATGGGAGTTTCCAAGTATGGTATAAAAGTATCAACATCAGATCAGTATGTAAGTAACATAATTTATTAAGGAAAAAATGTGTTTTAGGTATTAGAGCCCACTGGTAGTCAGGTCTGCTCCTGCTTGCAGAGTGGTTGGTTTGTAAACCTTCCTGGCAGCTGCTCTTAAAAGTGACCCATTCTGTAGGGTCAATGAATAGGGGCTTCCTTTTGCTTCTCCTGTGTGGTCGAGCACAAGCCAACATCCCCACTGCTGAAAATCCTAATGCATTTTCAGCTTAGGACTCCACACCAGTTCAGAGCAGCTGTCAGCTTGGAAGCTGGGCATAGAGAGCAGGATCATGAACTTAGATCATCTTACTCCTCTCTTTCTGGAATTTAAGCAGGAAGGTATAATCCTGAAGGCAAACTGCCCTGTAACTGAGCATACTGGAACATGCCTTTGGGTGAAAAACCTATAAAACTACTTTCTGCCAGATCCATGGATAGATATGGTCCGTTTAAAGCCTCACAATAAATTCTGCATGGGAAAATGTGTATAATGAGAGTGGAGAAACATGTAAAATAATCACAATCTTTCTTTTTCCTGACTTCTGCAGGATGTTTTGCATAGGCATGCTCTATATTTAATCATCCGGATGGTGTGTTATGATGATGGTCTGGGGGCAGGAAAAAGCTTACTGGCTCTGAAAACCACAGATGCAAGCAATGAAGAATACAGCCTATGGGTTTATCAGTGCAACAGCCTGGTGAGGTTTTAAGTTACCTTGGTTAGTCTCTTATTCATCAAACGAAGTGGTAAAACCAGAGACTATTTACAGTCTTTCCAAAGGCTGCAGAGGTGCTATCCACTAGGTATCTAATACCTGGTGTAATATAATGAATGACTGTCAGGCCCTAGGTCAGCCAGCTGTCCAGACCTGCTGCAGGCCAGGAGCAGCACTCACGTGTGCCAGGACAGGAAGGTTCAGGGTAAACACAAATCAGGTGAGGGCAGTGGTATGTCCTCCACGGGCAGAGGCCCCCTCCTTTCCTGTATATTGTTGTTCTGACTGACTCGTGATGGTCCTTTCTAAAGGCCGTGGGTCCTATGTGTTACCTCCCGTGCAGTTCTCCGAAGGAGCACAGGAAGAGAGCACGTGATGTGTTGTGCTGATCCAGGCAGGCTGTGTGCTGGGCTTTTTGAAACTGTTGATGTGCAGGTTCAGGAGAGCTGTTAAGAGGGTCAAATTTATAGCTTTTGCTGGTCAAATTAAGTTCAGGAAGAGATTTATGAACACTGTCTTACTGAATCTTTTCATTTAATGTAGGAACAAGCACAAGCAATCTGCAAAGTTTTATCCACCGCTTTTGACTCTGTGTTAACATCTGAGAAATCCTGAATTCTGCAATCCAGTGGAAGTAGACTTCATGTGCAAGTTCAGGTGTTTTCTAAATAGTTCTGTTTTCAATCTGCAATGCTGAACTGTTACAGAAATATGAAATGATCCCTTGCTCTGGATTTTTCCTGAAGAAAATGTAATGTATAAAATATCGATCATTTGCTTTTCTATTAAAATGTCTTATTAACTCTCAGTGAAGTTATTTACTTCCTGGGACTAAAAAAGAAACCTTGCTTGTCACTTTTAAATACAAGCTTAACACCTAAGTGTCACAGAAGTGCACGCAGTGAATCATCAATCAATCAACGTTGAGACTTTCTGAGGAAGACTAATGCAGTCTGCTCTGCAGCACTTCCCTGTGATGTGGTCTCACTGGCTTGGAGCTCTGGTCAGGCAGAGGTCTGGCTTGGGGACCTGGGTCATGCTGGTTTGAAACAGTGACACTGCCAACTCAAGACACAAGAAGTAAAACTTGAAAAGTATATTGTCAGGAGAACATGCTAGTAAACCACAATATTTATTTATCTCAGAGTTAAGAGAACTTTAAAAGATTACTGCTCAGGGCCGACCCCGTGGCTTGGCGGTTGGGTGCGCGCGCTCCGCTACGGGTGGCCAGGGTTCGGTCCCAGGCGCGCACCGACACACCGCTTCTCCGGCCATGCTGAGGCCGCGTCCCACATACAGCAACTGGAAGGATGTGCAACTATGACATACAACTATCTACTGGGGCTTTGGGGAAGAAAAAAAGGAGGATTAGCACAGATGTTAGCTCAGGGCTGATCTCCCTCACCAAAAAAAAAAAAAAAGATTACTGCTCATATTGAAAGTAATAGTATTAAAGAATCCCATGTACAGTACACACTAGTGTTATTTTTTTAAAGGACCATTTTAATGTGCAATGCTGTAAGGATTAAAAACATTAAAAATAACACCATGTCCATTTAAAAGTATTTTATTTTTTCTAGTCAAATGACTAGTTAACAAGAAGAGTAAACTTAAACATGCTCTAATTATAAATCACTGCATTAAGGACAATGAAAATAAGAATTGATTTAGGTTATACAATATATACAGTTGCGCTGCAACTAGACCCAAGTAATCAAGTGAATGAATTGAATATCATACATCTCAAATAGCATTCCACGCTGCATATCATGTTATCCATCCCTTAACAGATCACACAGTAACTATTAGTCTGTGCACATATTTCTGAGTCATCATCCCTAGAAGTCAGATCTGATGGAAAATGGCATGCAAAATGCCAGAATCCTGCAGCTAAGTTCATGAAACATAAACTTTAAATATAAATAGATATCTACAATGTTTTCCTTTCTCTCAGTTGCTTGTTTAAAATTTGCAAAGAGCAAATAACTAGGAAAGGATATTAGTAGGGTCTTTAATATAATTTCTCCTCTGGCAAGAGTAATATTAATTACTGCACAATAGCACCACCAAATTGTAGACTGGAAAAATATTTCCTAGATATTTATGTACCAGTGAACCTGATAGATTAGTTTGGGACTGGCGTTCAAATGTTGATATGAATCAACTTGAAATCCTATGAGGCTGGCACCAAGTAGTCAAAAGGCCGATTATAAGATACAGATGTGGGAGGATTGTGTTAAAATATACATAAGAAGTGCACTGTGCAAAATATATCTGTTTACTTCCTTAAATCTATGAGAGAATTAACTAAATGAAGGGTTCAAACAACAGAAATTAACAATTAGTGAAAATAGATGTAGTGCTTTAAAAAAAGACTTTAATTACAGATCTAACACATTTTTACCCAGAACTTTGAAAGGCAAAAAGCAACTGCCATATAATATCATAAAACATTCCAGTTTGTTCTGTCTTCCTTTATAATAGCAACAAAAAATACAATGCAATTAAAAAAACAAAAAAAAAAGCTCTGCACTTACAAGTGTCTTGCATAATAAAGACAGGCTGCTTCAATCAAATGTACCATCATAACAAATGCAATAAAAGCATCACCGCCTTGCTTTCCAAGCCTATATTTAAATTTATTCCTTTACTTTTGGTAAACATCCAAGTGGGCATTATATGCCTATTTATTCTCAAAGAATGCCAAAATTTCCAATATTCCTACTATGAATCTTATGCTCACAATTACTAAATAGAGGTATGACAGTCAAGTTCATTAAACTAATGAATTTTGATCTTATCAGATACAACCTAATCCCCCCCGCCCCCAGCAGCTTAAGTTTAAGAATGATATGATAGACTTCAATAGTAAAACTGGCATGTTGGGGAGTATTTATTACCTGGGACCTACAGATTTCCAATATGCTCTTGATTACAAACAAATGGACTGATTAAATTTCAAGACAGTGTAACTACCATTCCTGTTGGTATATTATATAAATACAAGACACTAAACTGAGTAAACATTCTCATGAGCTAGAAAGGGAAGGCAGTGGTACACTCAATAGGAAACAGCAGGTATGTGGTAACATAGTGGGGTCTGTGCCACAGTATCTACCTGTGTGATGAAGTTCAAGAAGGCAAATTCCAAAACACCTAAAGCATATAAACTAGTTTACAGAACTGTTTTGCAATCCATCATCCTTAGTTTTTAACCAAATTCAGGAAATGCAGTTTTATATAACCGAGAACTGAATTAACTGCTATTACTGTATGCCGTAATAAACCATCAGAAGTTTTGTTAGGTAGGATTGCTCACGACAGATTACACGCACATGCAGGATACAACGATAGTTGCAACCTCACAAATTAGGGCTGGAAAGTACAGCACTAAGGTGTAAATTTCCAAGTTGCTTTAAATAAACATTGGGTGGATTTCAAAAGAAATCTTTAAAAGTATTTTTTTTTAAATGTCTTTAAAGGTGAACTGATTGCATTTTATCTAGAAAGTCCTGGCTGGCTATGGACTTCTAAAGCAACAGTTTACTGGCTTCCTAAAACAATAATTGCGCTAAAGGTCACTGACTTCAGAAATGAGCCAAGGAAAGCAGGAAGAATTTCTTTCTCTCTCCAGCATTTTTAGGTTCAGCTAAGTCTGTAGATTCAGGATCTTAATTCTGTAGTTAAAATAACTTTTCAGTTCACCTTTTAGGAAATTCAGTTTTCCTAATAAAAGTATAGCAATGTTTCATGAAAACCACAAATTATAAAAACAATTCATTTATAGATATAAAATGGCTTTGAGTTTTTAAAACAGAACAGTGGCGTTAGAGAAAGTGGGCTACCGTACAATTCATGAAACTGGTTATCTGGAAAGAGTTTTGGTACCAACAATGAAACTGGAACATAACAACTGTTAAAAGAAGTGTTTGTGTTCAGTAGCAATTTAGTCAGCAATAAAGTGCACAAATGATACGGGAAATGCTCCTTTACGACTGGGATCTCCATCAATGTGGCCAATCTGAAATGAATAATAGTTCAGGTTGTTATAAAAATTCCATACGTTGGAAACTTTGAAGGGCATGATAGCATTTGGAGAGAAAAAGATTTGTTCAGAAGAAGTCTGAGAAAGAATTACTTGGGTAAAACATCTAAACTGTCTTTCCTTTTCTCTTGCACTCACGTTTCAAATCATGTGTGCCTGCTATCCGTGAGGAGCTCCTGGCAGAGGTGCGTCACGTGTCTGCACAGAAACATGCCCCGCACCAAGTCCTGGCCGTCTTAGGGGGCAAGCTGGACAGCTGTCTGGCCACCAACCACCCTACACTTGTCTTTTCTTAATGGATGAAGAAATTGAGCGTCAGAAGTTTGTGAGCTGCAGAGTCACAGGCAGTGGCAATGGTGACTTGGCCCTATTTAAATGCAGTTGAGCATTTATGGAAGACTTCAATAAATCCATTTATTTTGGCTCTGGGTAAATTTTAAGTTATACATCAAGTATGAGTTCAACAATGTAAATTATATAGGTAAATGGAAGTCTAAAAGAAAATTGCCAAAATAATTGGTCGGTTTTTTTGGAAGGGGGCCCTGCGATTATGGACAGCATTTACTTTCTTTATACCTTTCTGTATTTTCTACAGTTTTTGAAATGAACAGGTATTTTCCAGATGGCTAAGCCTGTTGTCAGGCTGGAGTCCATCCTTTTAGTGGGTTGTACACAAGTGTGAAAGCCAGACCTGCTTCAGGTCTCAGGGCGTGCGGGCAGTCGGGAGGGAGGAAGTTCAGGTCCTCACACCGTCCATGCACTCTCTGCCTCACCCGGGCTGGCCACGCAGCAGGAGCTGGGTAAGCAGAGGCCCAAGAAGCTTGTGTGAACCAGGGAACCAGGAGCAGCGGCCCCTTTACTGCCTGTGCTATACGTAGCAAGGCTGACAGAGGAGGGAGCTCTGGACCGACAGACACTTGAATCGCTCACGGGGAAAGAGGCTACAAGAAGACACCTGACTCCAGCCGTGTTGCCAGGCACCGAGAGTTCACAAAGCCCCGGAGACAGAGAACTTACAGTTCACGCAGGTGGGAGCTCTGCTAGGATGCCAACTAGCACTCCTTGCACTCGGCAAAGCAGAGCGACTTCCACAAGTCCTGTTTGCATCATCACAACATGAACTACTGATATCTGAGCTCAGTCTACAGAGCTGGGCCATTAGTGGCTACTGTGTGGCAAACACTGCCACATGCTCTATGCACACACTTCCTCCAAGTTATTTAATCCTACTATCCTTGCTTTACAACAGCCGCCTCTCGTTGGCGGCCTTCAGGTACAATCTCTACGCCAGTGCTGTGGCGACCTCCCTTTCACAGACGGGGTGGCTTAGCAGCATAAGCCACTTGCCCAAGGGCCCCCAGCCTGTAAGGGCTGAGTCTGGATTCTTAGGGTCATCAGGGGAAGCCCCATGCTTCTCCCATCCCAGCTCCCACGGGGACGCCACAGCTCATTTCAGGACCAAGACTGACGCCCAGGGACTCCGCCCCCAGGTCAGCTCTTTCTATGTGCCTCACTTCACCAAACTGGCAAAGTGGTGGAGGGAGGAGGGAACCACCTAGAAACTCAAGGCCTCAAACGCAGGGGCCTCATTTCAGACTCTCAAGCGTGCTCTGGAAACTGCAGCCCAACTGGCCTGCCCACCCTAATGAGGGGGACCCTCACCTGGGGGATAAATCAAGCCCACTCAGAAGTGGATGTACATGGAAGAGACATCTGAGGCTAGTGAGGGGCAGAGCAGCCAGCAGGCCTCAGGACCTCACCTGGGAACAGACCTCTCAGGCCAGGCGGGCAGGGATTCAGCTCCACCCCTCCTGGGCCCATCCCAGGACCAGGCCCTGACTCACCCACCACTCTTGGTCCTCCTCCCCGTCCACGATGATCACATCCCCCTCAGAGAAGGTCAGCTCGTCTGGGTTGTCGGCCACGCAGTTATAGAGGGCTTTGACCCGCTTGGGCTTTAACTTGGTCTGCATCGAGGAGAGGAAGCGTCAAAGATTTGGCAGGGAGCCATCAGCTCTTGGGGCAGAAAACTGGGCCACTATGCTTCCAGCTGGTCCCAAGGGTCCTGACCGCAGGCCCGGGAGCCCACCGGTGTCAAGATGAGGCAGGTTAGTGGAGCTTAGGGGCCAGAAGGGGGGTGCTTCCAGGAGGAGGACAGAAGAGAAAAAAGGAGCGATCCCAGCCGAGTGAAGAGAGCTGGGAAGAAGGCAGCCCAGTGCCCGGTATGCATGTGGGGGTCTGTCACACATGTGGTGAGAGGCCGAGCCCACCGCTAGTGATCTCTGGGGTTGCATCCTGCCCAGATCCAAACAACGAGGTATCCAGGAAGACTCCTCCACCCACCAACCAGGGGAAGAGGGTGTTTCCTCTGAGCCCTTGGAGAGTAACCCACACACTCCTGGCCAGAGTGAAGAGGCAGAAAATGAGGGGCTCGTCCACTTACTGTTTGTGACTTCCTGGGCATGGGCGCTGGGGGCTGCAAGGCCATGGCGTTGGACAGAGGACCCAGAGCTTCTGTTCCAGAAACATCCACTGCTTTAGGGCCAAAATCAATCAACTCACAAAATGCCCCCTTAGTCATAACCATGAGATATAAACAATATAAAAGCCACAGTGTCATGTCTGAAAGGCAAGTTTCCTGATATTTTCTGATCTGTTGAGGGAAAAGTACCCTAAAAGCCAAAGAACCTTGTGACTTCCATGCAACCTTTTAGACTGTACAAGGAGTGCAAGTGTCACCAAGTGAGACAGATGTCACCACCTCCTCCACAGACTTCTGGGCCCCCACCAGGGGCCTCCCCGCCTTGCCCCCATCAGCAGAAGGAGATAGGAATTCAGAGCACAGTACAGAGCATCCCCAAGGTCAGGAGCATCAGAGACTCTGTGGAGGGCAGGGGGGCTGCCAAGTAGGGGACAGCTGGGCCCTGATACAGAGTTGACCACGGCTGGAAACATCCTCCACTTTGCCCTCACAGACCAAGCAGAAACAAATCCCAGTTCCAAATGAAATAATTACCAGGTCCTCTCGGCTGGCCTTTGTTGATCAGTGGGGTTGACTTGTCAGCCCTACAAAAAAAGAGAAAACCGATTTATGGACACCTGAGGCCTGAAAGGCACGTCACCTGCCCCCACATCACCGCCCTTGGTAAGGGAACCACCTGTGTTCAAGTTAAAAACAGCTGAGCTGATTGTATCAGCTGTCGTTCAACTACTACTTTTTTTGGAAAAAGGAAGAATGAGAGGCCCAGAAGACAGTGCTAGATCCAAGGCTCCTGATCCTAAAACCAGGGCTGTTCCCAAAGCGCTCCTGTGCGCGTGGGCCTGCAGGCAACCACCCAGGTCTGGGGCTGGAAGCGGCACGAGCCGGCTCTACCCGCAGTTTGTTCAGGCCCTTCCCTGTGTAGGCCTTGGTCTCTTCACGTGTAAGGGTGGCGCTAAATCAGTCCCTGAAGGGCCATGGTGGCTGTGCCAGGACCTGTCCAGGCACCATCGGTCAGCGTCATCCACGCCTCTGTGGTCCCTGCTGCCTGTAACCCAGGTGGCTGACTATGGCTCAGGACCCATCCGTGAGCCTCCAGGCCCAGCACATCCCAAGGCCACAGGTAGAAGCACACAGGTAAGAGAGGCAGTTTTCAGGGCCAGCAGACGGGTCTACAAACTCAGACTTGCCATCTGGCAGGCCTGGATACGGGTTTCTGAGCCAGCATTTTCACCAGTAAAAGGTGTGACACCAGTTCTGCCAACTATCAAAATAAGGACAAGTGACAGAATGTGACAGAGGAGCTCTATCTCAAGTTCCCTGTGGAATGGAGCCAGGCACACACCCGGGGCTTGACACGTGCCAGGAAGGGGCTGGAGGGCAGAGGAGGACTGAGGGAGAAGCAAGGGCCGAAATCCTTCCCACTGCAGGCTCGCTCCCATTGGAACGCTTCCTTTGCTGCCCTGGATGAAGCCCGTCTGGGGCCTTGGTGCCATAGTCTCAGAAGGAAGGTGAAGAAAACATAACTGATTTTGCTCATATTTTCAAGGAACTAAAAAGGTGTAACAAGCGAAGGCCCCACCAGTCTGACCAGTCTCGTCATCTGATTTCCATCAATGTCAGGAGAGAAATCATCACGACGACCTGCTGATCCCTTTGCCTTCAGTTACTCCCCATAACAAAATGCTCCTAGGGAAGGCCTGATCCTTTAAGACACCGCTCAGCAAACTCTTTCTTTAAAGGACCAGATGGTAAATTTTTTAGGGTTTGGGTGATACGGCCTCTGTCGCGACTCTTCACCACTGCCATCGCAGCATGACAGCAGCCACATATAATGTGCAAACCAAGCAGGCTGCCTGTGCTCCAGGAACACTTTATTTATGGGCACTGAATTCCATATAGTTTTCCTGTGTCATGAAATAGTCTTCTTTTGGTTTTTGCAACCATTTAAAAATATAAAAACCGTTCTTAGCTCATGGCTCACACAAAAACAGGGCTGAGTTTGCTAACTCCTGCTCTAGGAGAACAAATGTGAAAATCCAAATTTATACTCAGGATAAAAGTAGGGGAGTGGGGTGCTTCCTTTACCAAGAGGACACACCAGTGAATTCCTTTAAAAACAGAACCAGGCCAGCCCCGTGGCTTGGTGGTTGAGTGCACGCGATCTGCTACTGGCGGCCCGGGGTTTGGATCCTGGGCGCACACCGATGCACTGCTTGTCAGCCCATGCTGTGGCGGCGTCCCACATACAGCAATTAGCAGGATGTGCAACTATAACATACCACTATCTACTGGGGCTTTGGAGAGAAAAAGGAAAAAAAAAAAAGGAGGAGGATTGGCAATAGATGTTAGCTCAGGGCCGGTCTTCCTCAGCAAAAAAAAAGAGGAAGATTGGCATGGATGTTAGCTCAGGGCTGATCTTCCTCACACACACACACAAAAAAACCCAAAAAACAACAACAGAACCCACTGGGTAGTGATGACATGACGCCATCCATCCGAAGTTGTTTTGGAGTTACTCTAGCATCACCTGCTTTGTCCTCACCCCACAGGTCCTTTCAGTCAGATGAGATGAGAGAAAGTGATTCCATGAAACAGGTACAACCAGGTGAGACTGTGCTAGAGGTGAGAACTCTGAGAACCAGGGCAGCAGCAAAGCCTCAGAACAACTAGAAAAATGTGCCCAACACCATAGGAGCCAACACCCAATGTTCTCAGAGCTCCCTGATGATGGCTGGCAGCCAACTGGTTCTCACCTAGAACTTGAGCCCATGATTTGGTCTCTTAAAGAACAGCAGCTCAGAAAGAGCAAATCTCTTACAAGGAAGAAAGAAGCTGGTGCAAGGCACAGACCCCAATACAAGAACTAAGATAAGTGCAGCCTGTGGCCATTCAGTCTGAACTTGAGACTTTTTTTTTTTTAATTTAATTAATTTATTTATTTTATTCCCCCCCTCCCCAAAGCCCCAGTAGATAGTTGTATGTCATAGCTGCACATCCTTCTAGCTGCTGTACGTGGGACGCGGCCTCAGCGTGGCCGGAGAAGCAGTGCGTCGGTGCGCGCCTGGGATCCAAACCCGGGCCGCCAGCAGCAGAGCACGTGCACTTAACCGTTAAGCCACGGGGCCAGGCCAGCCCTGAACTTGAGACTTGAGAGCGTATTCCTTTATAGTATAACTCAGGAACTGATGAGATTTCCCACACGCTGTTTAAGAATGGAAGGCAAGGGTATATATGTTATATTTTAGAAAGAGATCTTGCAAAGCAGCATTAAAAATGTTCTGAGAAGGGCCAGCCCAGTGGTGTAGTGGTTAAGTTCACACGCTCTGCTTCAGTGGCCCGGGGTTCGCAGGTTCGGATCCCGGACGCACACCGCTTGTCAAGCCATGCTGTGGCGGCGTCCCATATAAAGTAGAGGAAGATGTCCACGGAAGTTAGCCTAGGGCCAGTCTTCCTCAGCAAAAAGAGGAGGAGTGGCAACAGATGTTAGCTCAGGGCTAATCTTCCTTACCAAAAAAAAGAGGAGTGGCAACAGATGTTAGCTCAGGGCTAATCTTCCTTACCAAAAAAAAAAAAAAAAAAGTTCTTAGAGTCTTCTGGCTAAAAACAGCAGACTGAAATACACTTACTTCCATTTTCTCCCAAGGAAAAAGATTAAAAAAAAAAAATTAAACCAAAGAGAACTGAAGAGGAAACAAAATTTTAGAAGCTGAGAATGGAAGGATGAATCATAACCATCCTAGTTCATCTGAAGAAGGAGAACCTAAGGGCAGCAAGGAAAGCCCTGGAGGTACCCCATTTGTGCTTTCGAGCCCCCCACCCCAACTCTGGGAGTTGGAGATGAGGCAGGGCAATAAACACAAAGACTGGCCAAAGTCTGCTTAAGAAGCTACTGGATCCTGGATTCCCACCCCAAAGCTGAATAGCCTAGCAAGTGCCCTCCCCCAACCCCACTGAAGACCAGAAGCTTCTATCCTCGGAGAGGGTAGAATAGAGGGCATCCAGACTCAGGGATGTCAGGTATGGTTGTTGGGAGTATCTTAAAAAACAGAGGAACTAAGTAAAAGCTTAACCTATTTCTATATTCAAATCCCAGAAAACCTGCTCCCTTCAGGCAAGAGACTAGAAGACTGTTCTCTAAGGAACCTGAGTTGTCCAAGAAAAAGGCCCAAATTCACTGCAAAACAGCCCAGTGAGATCACCCACAGTGGCAGGTCTGCGCAACAGGGTACAGCCTGTCGATCAGTGTTAACGCCTCACCTGAAATAGCAACTTACAGGCAGGGAACACCAGATTTATAGCGAAAAGCCTCTAGTATAACAGAAGTCAAAACAAAGAGAAAAGAACATGGAAGAAACAAATGCAGAAAAGTGAAGGGTAAAATAAACCAACCCCCCCCCCAAAACCCATCACTAATAATCTGAGATGAGAGAAAATGATTCCATGAAACAAATAGGATAACATTAACTTGAAAATTATACAATAGCATAAAACTCAATGAGAGAATTGGAAAATAAAATTGAGAAAATCTCCCAGAAAGTAGATTTAAAAAGCAAGCAAGATGGGGCTGGCCCCATGGCTTTGCGGTTAAGTGCGCGCACTCCGCTACTAGCGGCCCGGGTTCAGATCCTGGGTGCGCCCTGACACACTGCTTCTCCGGCCATGCTTAGGCGGCGTCCCACATACAGCAACTAGAAGGATGTGCAACTATGACATACAACTATCCACTGGGGCTTTGGGGAGAAAAAGGAGGAGGATTGGCGTGGATGTTAGCTCAGGGCTGATCTTCCTCACAAAAATAAATAAATAAAAACCAAGCAAGCAAGCAAACAACACAGAAAAGGAAATGAGGAGGCGGCAGAGAGCTGGCCCCTTCACAGTGCAGAGCTGCTGCCACGGGAGCAGCTGCCCAGGTGGGGCTGTACTTCCAGCCCTGGCCTCTAGGTGGGACCACCGGACCGGCCCTGGTCAAAGGAGCAGAAGCATGCCGCCTTCCCAGTCTTTCCCTTCGGAATTAACCCTGGGCCCAGGGGATAAAAGATAGTGCAGTCAGAAGCAGAAGGGGTCTGGGTCTCCGACTCACCCCTGGGACTGCTGTACAAGCAAGAACATGAACACTCAGTTTTGTGTGGGCAAGAAGTCAACCTCTATATGTTAAACCACTGAGACTCAGAGTAGGCCGTCAAAGCAGGTAAGCTCACCCTAATAAAAAAGAGAAAAGTTCATACATGTAGAGGAAAGGCCCAGGGATCTGACATCTGAATAGTAAAAATCATATTAAAAATGACAACAGGAAAAAATAGAAGGCCTTAAAAAAATTAATGAAATTTCTCAGAACTGCAGGATGTAGTTTATATCCCGAAAGGCCATATTATTACCTGGTGGCTCGGATGAAAACAGACCCATCCTGCGGAGTCAGAGCCTGAGCAGGAACAGGAGGCGTCCGTGGAGGGGAGGCCTGAGTGAGCATCTGCCTGCCCGGGGACTAGGGGTCGCCTGGCGGGGGAGTGAGAGCCCCAGCAGGTTGAAGAAGACCTCCACGTGGGGTCTCAGAGCTCAGTAGCGAGAGGAGGACTCTGCACAGAGGAGGAGGTAGAGGCAGAGATGGGAGATTTGTTTCACAAGGGAACTGATCAAGGAAGTAAATGTGGGAGCCAGATTTCTAACCATCTGTCAAGGGAGTAACAGGCACAGAAAGGGAAAGAATTAGAATGAACCCTGAGGTGCTTTTAAAACGTTGCCCCCAAAGTCTTTACTGAGAGCTGAAGACGACGACCACTTCATGCCAGTGCACCGCCCCCACGCCACCCCTGACTGAGTCTGGGCTCTGCCACCGCTTGCCCAGTAGCATAAGGCAGAAGTGATGCCAGTTTCCAGGGCCACACTTATCTCTTGGGACTTGCTCTTGGGCCCAGCCACCATGATGTGAGGAAGCCCTCACCATATGGAGAGGCTGCATATGTGTAAGTATTCTAGCCAGCAGCCCCAGCTAGGGTTCCAGCTGACAGCCAGCATCAACCACCAGGTGTGTGGAAAGGAGAGGCCACTGATGATACTAGCCTCTAGCTGATGAGTCACTTTCTGTGTCAGATCATCCTCAGCCTTTGAGTCTCTTTGGCTAAGGCCCCACATAATGTGCAGCAAAGACAAGCTATCCCCACTGTGCTGATCCAAATTCCCAACAGAGTCCATGAGCATAATAAGATGGTAGTGTCTTATGTTAGTAAGTTTTGGTATGGTTTATTACTAGAACAATCAAAACTAGAGATAGTGTGAACTCACGGATTTCAATATAGACAGAGACAGAAATATAGAGATACATGTGTTTATATGTGTATGTATGCATGGATGTATATGTATGTATCCACGGGTGTGTGTATCCCTAGTCTGACCACTCAGAGGGCCTGAGAGCAGTGACACTCCAATAGCAATGAGCACACAAAGCACCCAGATCTTGGCTTCTAAATATCTAAATATCATTTCTACTAAAAGGAACCATTTCTACTATAAGGATCCAGACTGAGAGCCATGAACTGGATCCCTTTGCACTAAAGGATGTCATGTTGTCGGACAACTGATGAAACTTGAATGACGTCTGAGGATTGCAAGGTAGTAATGTACCCATGTTAATTTCTTGATTTGGCTGGTTGTACTGTGTTTTTGTAGGAGAATGTCCCGGTTTGTAGGAAATACATGACCCACACTGCAGAGGGTCCATGTATTCAAGATAACCTTGTGAGTGAGCAACAAACAGAACCCAGAGGCCTTGTGCCTTGAGGAATTTAACTCCCAGAATCCCAGTGTTCGTACTAAACAGAAATCTAACTTCACTATGTGGATATAAGACATACATTTGCATGAAATTTTTACAAAAATTCTTGATAAACTATTAAGACACTCAAAATATGATGAATCAGTCATGTAACACTTGACCTCAAACATTACAGTAGTAGAAACATCGTGGAGATTTCAAATGCTCGCATGGAAATCTCAGCAGCTGACGTAAGGGGCCCAAGTCTGCTTGGAAGCACCTTGAATGCAAGAAGCAAAAACGGCCGATGTGGCCTGGCCCTGAGGGGGAGCTGAGGAGGCAGTTACCCCGGAGCAGGCCTCTTCTGAGGGAGGCGGCTGGGCGGCTGGGGCGGCAGGGGCGGAGGCTGCGCTTTGCTCAGTGGGCCCCCAGGCTGTGGTGGCTTGCTCTGCTGGCTCAAGGCTTCTATCACACTGGGCGTCTTTGCTACTGGAGGGGGCGGCGTGGGAGCCAGGGGATCTGTGGAGAGAGAAATACAGAGGCTCAGACTTCAGGAGTCACATTCCCACCTTCTCACTGGAGGGTCTTCCCATAAGGGCTTCCTTTTTTCTATTGCTAGTTCCTAAGGAAAAAACCCACTGTCATGCAGATTTTCAGAAAACAGTATTGGCGGGCAGTCCTTCCAAGCCTCAAGTGAGGATTAAAATGTGTCTATGAGCCTGTAAGTATTTTCTCAGCTAGAATTCCCTGTGGGGAAGCCAACAGGGTTTTCTGGTGGAGCTCTCCACCCCGAGACCGGGAGGATCGGCAGCAGGAGTCTGAGGGCTGGGGCCGGGGTCTGGTGCTAGTGCTGCCCTGGGCAGCTGGACCTTGGGCCAATTCTCTCTTTGCCTCAGCTGACCCACGGGCCCAATCCATTTCATCAGGCTGTGAGCAGGTCAGTCTGAGGAAAGCCTGTGAAGAACTAACTCTGTAAAGGCTCCACATCTGTGAGGGGGCAGGGTAAAGAGGTTATTCTCTAGATTTTACAGACAGGAGGGTAAGGCTCGCAGAGGTGATGGGCTTCCACCTCTGTGGACAGGGTCATGGAGCTGGTAAGACAGGAGCTGGGCCTTGAGCTCGTGCCTCCCTCCTCCCACCCCCGTCCCCTTCTCTGAGAGACATCAGCGCTCTCCCTAAATGTCCAGCATTCTCATCCTGTTGTCCTTGTTGAGGCAGCAACCTGCCTCAGGATGGGACGCTGACACCTAAGGAGTTAGCAGCTCCTCTCCTCAGGACAGGTCGGGGTTGGGGGCTGAGGGGCTGGCTGACCATGGAGGGATCCAGTTTAGAGTCTGCCTTTTTTTTCTTTTTTGTCTTTGTTTCCTTTTTCTGCTTTAAAGGAAAAGTCAAAAGGCAGACTCGAGCGTGCAAATCTACAGCTCCAGGGACACCAAACTGAGAGGCAGAAAAGTGGGTGTCTGGGACCTGCTGCATGACCCTAGGGACCTGCCAGTTGATCCTTGTTGTTTGACTTGAATGTGTCCGAGTTGGACACCCCCACACACCACCACTGACCCCAGGAAGACCCACCCAGACACAGCTCCCTGCTCTGCCACCAGCACACACACATATGGCACTTACTGCAGCTGGGGCTGGGTTTTCTTTGATCTTAACCGAGGTTAAGGAAGGCAGGGAAAAACCTAGGGAAAACTCTCAAGGCTCTCAAGCACCCCCAGAGATGCTGTAGCACCCCCCTCCCACGGTGACGCTAAGCAGGAGGGAGATGGCAGCGTCCAGGGCTTGCCTCACAGATCCAGTAAAGACACTCCTGCTCTGCACGCTGGAGAAAATCCTCTTCGCCAGCCCCCTCCCCCAGGTTCTGGGTCTTTCACCCACATGTTGACATTGAAGAAAAACACACATGAGATCATAATCCAAATGACTGTATCCAAATATTGAGAACCACCAAACAGCCAAAGGAAATGAAGCCCTGCGCTAACGTATGAAAGGAAGAAATGTTGCTGAAATGCTTGGGAAGACAGAGGAAGACAGTGAGTGAGCGCCCGGGGGCTGGGTGCGGGACAGATAGGAGTTTGCAGCTGGGGAGGTGGCTGGAGGGTTGGGGCTGTGGAAGAGCCACAGCTCTCCACGCAGCACCGGCACCCGGCAGTGCCTGCCAGCGGGCGTTGGCTCCGCAGCTCTCTCCCCACGGGCCTGCCAAACGCACCCCCCAGCCATCCAGATCTACCAAGCCCACTGGCAAGAAAGGAAAAAGGAAAAAACGTACTGGTAGATGTCACGCGAAGAGGGGGCAGCGGTGGGTGGACAGCTGGCGGATCTGACGAAGATCGCTGCCTGCTTACACCGTCCACACTTACAGAGTTTGTCTTCCACAGGGCGTTAGCTGAGGAGGCTGTCTGAACTGCACGCACACGCACATGCACATGCACACACAGGCATGCACACACACACACGCACGCACAAGCACAGAACAAAAACAGAAACAGAACACTGCATTATTGATCCTCTCCCTTTTAAATTGGTAAATATGACCCTTCTAGAGTAGCATTAAAAGACCACAAATAGAACACCAATTTTTAAAAATTCTTGTCTCTGATTTCTGGAAGATAGATACTGATACACACTAAACCAATGATGCTTCTGGGAAAATTCCCAGCTGGTTTTCTCAATCTTACTGATTTTATTTCTCAAATATAAATACTGCTTGAAGAGGGAAAGGAGTAACCACAATGACACATCCTGAGCATTGCACTCGGGCTATGGAACGTCTGCTTTTCTCTCCCACCCATTAACTCCTCCCCCTGGGCCCGTGAGGTCACCGCCTTGCACAGGGGGACACCTGTCCTCAGACAGAGCAGGTGGAGAGAAGGGTGCAAATCAAAGACATCAGGTGAAGGGCTCTCCCACCTCCCGCAGACATATTTCTGTCTAGAAGTCAGCACAGATGACACCAAGCAGGCTCAGGTGACACACCAGGGAGACGGCATTGCCTTGATCACAGTCCTTCCTCTGCCCCACAAAGCTCTTCTTCATTGAGGGGTGTCAGCTAGGTGCACAGGGGTGACTCGTGCCTGAGGCTGCGCATGGCCCACACAGAGGGCTGGGCTGGAGATGAAAATGGGCCACACTGCACAGGGCAGGCCCGGGGGCCCAGAGGGAGCCTTCGCACTTCTGCCGGGGATGAGTTCTGCCCTGGTGCAGGGCATGACGACGACAACTCCCATTTTTATTTGTGTGTGGAGACTCCACGCTGGACCAAGTGTGGACTAGACGGAGAACAAGGGAGGCTGTCGGGGAGGAGGGGTGCAGCAGGGATGAAGTGCAATCTACATCATCAAAGGAAGAAATGAGGCAACCACAGGAATCGCAAAAAGAAATGGGAAGAAAAAACCCCAGACCCTCTCATTCCAGGACTTTAGGAAAGCAAGAAATAGAGATAAAGAACTTTCCATTCCTTTCATATGACCCAACAGAGCAAAGTCAACTCTTTGCTCACATGACACACAGTAAAAGCCACTAATGGGGTGGAGATGACCAAATCATTCTAAATCTGGACTTACAAAATTAATACCCATTCACAGGACATGGGAGGAGGATGGGAGAAAGCAATGAGACGCCCCCACAATGACCCAATCACCACCGCTGCCCTCACCGGCCTTGACCCACCCGGCCAGCCCAGTGAGGGTGAGGGAGGAGGCGGCAGCTGTGGGACTGATCTTGCAGCTTCCTTCCTTGAGCCGGGACCTCCCACTCAAGCCTGGCTGTGGACACTGTCTGGGATGCAGGCACACATCTGTGAGGGGCTCTGCGGGGGAGGTGAGCAGGTTGGTTTCTAGGGCAGGTTTGCTCCTGAGGGGGCTATGATTCAGTGACCCATCGCCCTTCTCTGGGCTCCCTGAGTGACGGGGCAGCGCTGTGTGTGGGGGTCTGCGAGTACTCAGAACAGCGCAGGGAGGGAGGACCCAGCCACACTGCCAGCACAGACCCAGTGTGGTGGTCTGCTGCCATACCCCCTCCTCCGCCCAGGCCTCGTGGCTCTTGCCACCACCCCTCACCGACACTCCCCTCGCAGGGAGCAGCTGGGACTTATTTTTGTGACCACCAGCAGCCCACAGCAGCCGCAGCATCTGGACGTCTGCGGAGGCTCCTGTCCCTCCCCACTACGGGAAGCCCTCTGGAGGCCGCTGGCCATGGCTGGCAGCACCAGCCCAGGGCTGGGCCAACCACTTGCTGGACCTGCCTTCACGGAGTGTAATGACCAGCTGGCCTTCAGTGCTGGGCAAATTACTTAACTTTTGGGGGATTTGGTTTCCATTTATATAAAAACAAAATTATCACCCGTTGAGTCAAAGTTGCTATGTTGTGACAGTGACTGAGCTAAGTGTCGTAAGCTTTGGCAGGTAAGGCACTGGTAGGACCCAGAGGGACTATTTTGTATTTTTACAATTAGGCTGAGCAATGCTCCCCAAATTAGCGTCTTTTCATCCTTCATTTCATGGGGATCACAAACATAAGAAATAATCACAGGTGCCATAAGCTGGCAAGTGTAGGCAGGGGAGAAAGAAAAAAGGAAAGGCTGAAGGCACAGGGAGGGGTCATGAGTGGAGAAAAGCCAAGAGAAAAGGACCAGAAAGAAGGTCTGCAGGACAACACCTCAGGGGCCAGCATCGGGAGCTGACCCACCCATCTTGGGCCCACCCTGGTGGAGTTCCTACATCACCTGAACCACGCAGACACCACATGTCTGCCCAGAACAGGAATGAAGTCAAGATACTCTACCACCACAGGGCATCTTAAGGATGATGGAGCTCCTTTAGGAAGCAAACGACATAACTACAAAAGACCCAAACAAAAAACCCATCCTGACGCTGGCCCAAATGTCTTCTAGTCAGGGGCAAAGCAATGACGAACTTCCCAAAGCAAAACCCCAAACCACACTGCTCATGCATCGGGGTGGGGGTGGGGGGGCTACCAACAGCTCAGTACCTTTGGCAATGTTCCGCGGGGGGAGAGGGGGGGCGCTGGCAGTGCCGGGGGCTGCAGGCTGGGTGGGGGGCGGGCTGCTGCCCAGGATGGCTCCGTACGTCTCGTTCTGCAAGATGCTGGGCACGAAGCTCCTCTGCTTGTCCTTAGCCAGGCTGGCGGCGTCTCTGGCCAAAGACGTCACGTTAGACTGCAGCTGGTTGGATCCCAGCTGGTAGAAGCTGACGGGCCGGTCTTCTCGCCGACTGGGACTGGGCTGCAGAGGGGTGGTGGGCAGAGGTGTGTGAAATGCAGATACACTGACCGCTTAGTCACAGCGTTCAACCTCCTGGTGACAACCTCATGTATACCACTTCTACTTGGGCATGGTGCATTTTGGCTCTCAGCTGTTACATGAGAGCTGCAAGATTTAAAACTCACTCTTATCATGTCTCTTAATGGAAGCATGATTTACAATTTACAATCTCCATTCTGTGAAGGATTTAAAATATAAGCTATTTCATCTTTAGCAGCAAGAGTTATCTCAACCTAGCTCTGCATTTCCTCTTCATAAACACGCTCTCTTAGATTACAGAACAGTATAGCTGCTCTGGGCACCCAGCTGCAATCAATCCCCAACAGCTATATGGCTAATTCAGGGAGATCAATGTTTTCTTCCCATATGAACTGGAACTCTTGAGATTCCACTAACTCAGGGGCAAACCACGGCCCATGGGCCACTATCTGTTTCTGTAAATAAAGTTTTATTGGAACACAGCCATGCCCAAGCATTTACACATTGTCAAGCTGCCCTGGCAGAGCTGAGTAGTTGCTACAAAGACTGTGATGTTTTAGGCCCACAAGCCTAAAATATTTGCCATCTGGCTCTTTAAGAGTTTGCCGACCCCTGCTCTGCCTGAAAGTCATGCCTGGAATCACGATTCGGGTAAATCAGAGCTAACTCATATTTCAAATGTCGGCCTTCATTCTAACAGCTATGATCTGGAGCAATTAACCTCACTGACCCTACTTCTCATCTGTTAAATGTTAAATCTGTTATAACTTTGCTTCTCTGGCACAACCCAGGTGCTTCGCAGGTGTCGTTGTCAGCTGTCGCACCCCTCCTCCCCTCACAGCACCACCCGCCCAGTCGAGGCTCTGGCTAAAACAAGGCTCAAACCCAGCTCAGGGGTGCCGAACTCAAGGGCTGGTGGCTCTTCACACACATTTAAAGTCCCAGCAGAGCCCATGGCGGTTATGAACCAACTGGGCCATCCACTCTCTGCTGGAAACAGCACTTGCTGCTGGCCTTTCACTGGGTCTGTGCCGGACGCCACCAGCCGTGCCACATGCCCACATGCCGGGCATGCGATGTGCGCTGGATGAAGAGGCACTTGCTCTGGGGGCGGGTGCTTCAAATCTCTCCTTTTTTAAGGTAGGTAGTATAAAACTAGTCTGCTCTTCTCACTTTGATGCCGTTTTACAGCTAACTCGGAGAAGAAATTTCTTTCTTTTTTTTTTGCTGAGGAAGAGTCACTCTGAGCTAACATCCGTGCCCATCTTCCTTTATTTTGTATGTGGGACGCCTCCACAACATGGCTGACGAGTGGTGTAGGTCAGCGCCCAGGAGGCAAACCCGCAAACCCAGGCCGCCAGAGCAGAGTGTGCCAAACTGAACCACTACGCCACGGGGCTGGCCCCAAGAAATTTCTTATTCTAAGAAACAGTAAATACAGATGTTAACTGCTCCATAAACGACAGTCTAGTAGGTGTCAGAAATGCATAAATATCTAACTAGACATCCTCAATACACATCAAGACATTAAATTCCTATAGTAAAAATAAAAAGCTTGACATGGCATTCCCCACTAATTCCCACAGCAGCTACAGTGTAAGTCTGACAAGTGAAGGGGGCAACCTCCCAGGGTCCCCCCAAGTGTGCAAGACAGTGAGTCATGAGAAGGGAGCTTGACTAGAAGGCAAGAGCCCTCATTCTAGCCCTAGGTTGGTCTCTGAATCCTGGCTTCACTGTGGGCCAAGTGCCCCTCTCTCTCAAGGCTTCAATGACCCCATCTGATAAAGGGAAGAGCTGGACCCAGTGAACTCCAAGGGTCATTTAATGATTTCAGTGAAGGTCTGAAAGGTCATCTAGGTGAACATGATCACTGATAACTGGGGGAACCTGGCTCTTTATCACATTACCCATAGTGGGGGAGCTTCCTCTAAAACCCACTAGAATCAAAGGCCCTCCCCCATCTCTTTCCTTCATAGCAAAAGGGGAGCAGCTGCCTACGATTACATAATCAACATCCTTTAAATTCACGTGTGTAGGTGCTGGGAGACAGGAGGCAGTAGCGGGAAGGGTAAAACCAAAAACCTACACCTACGGAAATCAACGGAAGCAAAAGGTAAACTATATTTCCTTCTCTACAAAAAAGCTTTCTGCCCTAATTACAGGCTAGGACCCACGCTGTTCTGAATGAAGCTTATCATAACTCTTAATGTTTTACCACCTGGCACAGACCTGCAATTTCTCATCCATGTCGTCATCACTTTCATCCAGGTCTTCATGGAGCAATCGCCATTCATACTCGACATGCACGTGAGAATTAAACCTTCCAGATAAGGCCTGGGTCAGCTGAGAAGAACAAAGGATTGTGGGTGCTGCTGCTCAGGTGCTCAGCCCTGTGAAGTGGGCAGCCACCGAGATGTCCGGGAGACAGCAGGCGGGCGGCGCGGGGAGGAGGGGAGCATGCTGGCTGGGGAGGCAGAGCACCCACACTCCAGCACGAGGCCAGCTACTTAAATATCTGGGTCTCAGGTTAAGCACCCCCCCCACCCCCCACCCCCAATTCACAGAAGACCTTGAAACTCAAACCTGGTGACTCCCATTAAGTGATCTGTAAACTGTAAAGTGCTATATGCAGGCAAGGGATATCTGAGATCTAAAGGATGATGGTCAGCCTGCAGGTGCTGACGACTGCACCTGGGGGCAAACTCAACCTGAGGAGAACTAATGTGTCCACAACTGTTATGCCGACCTTTCTCGACTAGCACAAGAGAAAAGCCCTGAAGAAAATGATGTGAATGACTATTTTCTCAATTCTCTCAAGGAAAGCTGATAGCCAGTCCCATTCTAGATGCACAGAAGTTAATTCATTAGACACGATGGGTGTCTTGGCACATTAGGGCTTAATTTTCTCCACCGCCAGACAGTAGCCATGCGACCTTGGGCTAACTTAACCCTTCTGTGCCTGTCTCCTCATCTCTAAAATGGGGATAAGAGCAGAAACCACGTCATAAGGTAGTTATCAAGACTAAATGAGTTAACGGACATAAAGTGCTTAGACTAGTCCTGTTACTTATCCTACACTTCTACAGCATTTATTGTTAACAGCTCTATTTATTGAGCACTTAATAAGTGCCCAGTGCTTTACACTCAACAATAATTCTCACAACAACCTTGCAAACTGGTACAGCTGACTCCACTTTACAAATAAGGAAACAGCAGAGAGAGTTGGCATGACTTTCCCAAGTCACAGCGGTGGAGCACCACGGTGAACCCAGGTCTGCCTGACCCCGGTGGGCTCTGCCCACTGGCCACACTGCCTTTTCTTACAGAACAGGACAGGAAGAAATGGTGCAGAACAACTCAAGTGATTTGGGGTTGGGGAACAAAATAAGAAAGCCAGCTCTGGTGTGCTGGTGTGAAGGGATGAGCTAACAGCTCACAGATTCCAGAGGACAGCCAGAGTTGGGGTGGCCTTTGGCCTCTGCTCCACTCACCCTAGACAATGCCAGGGCCTCTGTCAACAAGACCAACCAGCAAATGCCGACTTGTGTTCCAAGTGCCACTTCGATGGGGATGGTCACCTCCTGTCTAAAGACTCCCCAAAATGCCTTCTCCAAGTCACCCCATTTGGACACTAGGATCTGCCCAGGACCCATACTGGGGGGCTCAGAGAAAACCCTCCTCAAGGAGGGCGGGGCAGGAAGGACGCTGGGTGGAGACTCACCAGCTCCTCGCAGTGCTCATGCCGGAGGCGCTTGGCGATGTCCAGTGGCGTCTCTCCCGACTCATTAGCTAAAAGGCAGGGTGAGAAAAGGAGGCATTTCAGCAAAACCAAGCAAAGGTCTGATATCGAGAGACAATTAAAAAAAGATACAGTGAAGCAGCACTAAATGAAACTGAACAAGACTAATGAAAGCCACAGTTGGTTTGACCCGATCAGGGCGAATCTGTCTTATAATCGTACAGAATTGCAGCAGTTTACAGTCAGCAAGATTTTAAAAGATAAGGTTTGAGCTAATCATGAAAATAAAACCACTGAAGTAGCCAACTAATGAAAATCAATATCCAAACCATAAGTTGTTGAATATCCAAACCATAAGTTCACCATAACTCTCTAACCAAGAGCACTGCTAGTCTAGTTCCAGGCATCCGACTGTAATAAACTTTACACCTGCTTTGAAACAGTCCGTAAATTTGAAGTTTTATTTTCTTCTAAATAAGCCTCAGTCAATGAGGTTTGACTATTAATTTTTATTTACTTTTTTTTTTTTTTGGTGAGGAAGATTAGCCCTGAGCTAACATCTGTGCCCATCTTTCCTTTTATATGTGGGACTCCTGCCACAGCATGGCTTCATAAGTAGTGCAGAGGTCTGCGCCCGGGATCCGAACCTGTGAACCCTGGGCTGCCGAAGCAGAGCATGCGAACTTGACCACTACGTCACTGGGCTGGCCCTGATTATTAATTTTTAAAAATGAAACTTGGCTCTCCAGCAGGTGTGCCTTCTTTCTACCCTCTTTGCTCTCTGTTCAACAGTTCTTCAGAAACACTCTCGGGGCCAGCCCCGTGGCTTAGCGATTAAGTGTGCATGCTCCACTACTGGCGGCCCAGGTTTGGATCCTGGACGCGCACTGACGCACTGCTTCTCTGGCCATGCTGAGGCCGCGTCCCACATACAGCAACTAGAAGGATGTGCAACTATGACATACCACTATCTACTGGGGCTTTAGGGAAGAAAAGGAGGAGGATTGGCAATAGATGTTAGCTCAGGGCCGGTCTTCCTCAGCAAAAAGAGAAGGATTAGCATGGATGTTAGCTCAGGGCTGACCTTCCTCACAAAAAAAAAAAAAAAAAAAAAAAAAAAAAAAAAAAAAAAAAAAAAAAAAAAGACTTTTGTAAAAATAAAAACAAAAACAAAAAACACTCCCTCATGACACGGTCACAGCCGGGTGCCCTAGGATAGACTTTGCCTGACAGGCTGTCAGTATGTCATGGTCCCACGGGTAGGGAGGGCTGAAGGCCAAGCAGACCAAGGGTCCCTTGTGGTGGAGATTTGGTGCCAATGAAAGGAGGGGCAGTGAACATGTCTCCCACCGGTAAACCTTCGAACCCAGAGCCAGGAAGGGGTTGAGTCTGATCCTCGGTGGGGGTTATGAACAGGAGGGCAAGATGCCCCAAACTGTCCAAATTCACCTCAGCATCAGTGACAGCTGCAGGGCCCATCCTCTGCCTCTTATAACCCACAAAATGCCCGCGAATGATGCAGAGTCTATGTGACAGGTGGAGGCAAACTGCTGATAACTATGAGAGCACAGCAGCCTTACGGAACAGGCAGGGAGAGGCCCTTCTCTTTAGAGAGCAGGATTTACTTCACAGCTCTGAAGAGCCCCCTGTCTAGACTGTTTCCAGCGGCAGCGCAGGGACTGCAGACAGGAGACAGGCCGGCAGGCCCCCCCGGACCGCCCCTCACCAATCTCGATGGAGGCCTTCCCCCGCAGCAGGAGCTTCAGGCACTCGGCGTTGTCCGTCAGGCAGCAGTAGTGCAGGGCTGTGCTGCCTCTCCCTGTCTGCTTATCCAGGTTCCCGCTGGCCGAGAACAGCACCAAGAAAGAGAAAGAACAGTGAGTCACAGGCCAGAGGCCCAGGGACTGCCAGGGCAGGGGACTAGGGCACGTGAGCAGGAGAGACGGCGAGCCATTACTCACTGGAGGTTTCTCTCAATCCTCCTACGAGGTGGGTGGGACACAGCGCCACCCCATTTGTGTGGATGAAGCGGCCTTAGGGCCATCAGGGAACCGACAACGATGGCAGAGAAGGTCAAAAGGGGAGAGGCACCCATGCTGCTGCTGAGCAGGGGCCGAGGGGATTCATCCTGCCCCCCGGGCAAGCCCTGAACCACTGGCATCCCTCCCGCTTCCCTGTCAGTGTCCAGAGGCCACAGTGCCCGTCTGGGCATCAGGAAGCCTGTGCAACTTGCCCTTCCTGTCCCACAGAAGGACGGAGGTGAGCTTTTTTCATCGTATTATTGACATTCTTGCCAATGGAAGGGGAAAAGCCACTTTTCCCAAGTCCAGGGTCCCAGAGCTCCTCTGAATCTGCTCGCTCCTGACGGCCCTGAAGACAGCCCGAGGGGGAATCAGGAGATTCCAAGTCCTTCCAATGTAAGACAAGACCAGGTTACCCCACAAAGGCACACACGCTCCTCAGATGTGGGACAAGCCAGTCAATCTACCAGGGGAGGCAGCCCTGAAACTGAGGCTACCGTCATTCTGAGGAGGAGGGACAGTGGGACTTGGTGCCACCTGGACAGACAAGTGGGGACAGGAGAGTGACCACAAGGGGATACCCACTGCTCCCAACAGGACAGAACCAGCCTTCCGTGTAAAAAGGAGCCTCATTTTCTGATCTCTCCTCTCTTCCTGCCATCCTCCCTCCAAGCTGGAAGAAAAGAAACCAGGACTTCCCTTCTTCTGCCCCTTGAGAATTTACACTGAGGGAGGTGGCGCCATTCAGCCACTTAATCAAATGTTCACTGAGGGCTGGCCCCGTGGCTTAGCGGTTAAGTGCATGCGCTCCGCTACTGGCGGCCCAGGTTCGGATCCTGGGCGCGCACCGACGCACTGCTTCTCCGGCCATGCTGAGGCCGCATCCCACATACAGCAACTAGAAGGATGTGCAACTATGACATACAACTATCTACTGGAGCTTTGGGGGAAAAAAAAGTAGGAGGATTGGCAATAGATGTTAGCTCAGGGCCGGTCTTCCTCAGCAAAAAGAGGAGGATTAGCATGGATGTTAGCTCAGGGCTGACCTTCCTCACACACACACAAAAAAATGTTCACTGAGCCCCCGCTAGGCTCTAGGCGCTGGGTGGGCATTCAGGCTCCATCAGAGGGCAGGGCCGTCTGCACAGCTTCCACTGTGAGTCCAGCAAACCCTCAGCTCCTGGGGAAGGAGCTGACCTGCCCCAAGCTCCTCCACCTCTGGCCATTTCTCCCTCCCCTCCGCCCCCACCAGGAAAGGCAGGGAAAGGCAGAAATGCAAAATATCCCCTTGCTTTTGCGCTGCGGAATGTTCCACTCCATTTGGAGCAGTTTCAGTGACTTTTAACCAGCACCTCCCCCTCCAGTACATACACCCCAAACTATGATCAGGGAGTCAGGATACGCCTTGACAGGTCTTTATGCGTGGCCTTCTGCTGCCAGGCAGGTAACGCCCCTGAGTGAGGGAGACTGCACCCAACAACGGGGCTACTGGGCCGGGGTATGCTGCACATGCACATGCTCTCTACAGGCAACTTCTAACTACAAAAATAAAAACAACTTTCCAAGCCAAACACAACGTCCACAACCCAGTGTTGTGGTTTACAATCTTGGCTTACACCAGTGGCTCAAGTGTATCTTTGTTAAGAAGGGTAAGAACCTCTCCCACATAGGGCCGGCCCTGTGGCTTGGTGGTTAAGTGCGCGCGCTGCGATGCTGGTGGCCCGGGTTCGGATCCCGGGTGCGCATCGAGGCACCACTTCTCCGTTCATCCTGAGGCCGAGTCCCGCATACAGCAACTAGAAGGATGTGCAGCTGCGACATGCAACTATCCACTGGGGCTTTGGGGGGAAAAAATAAAATAAATAAAATCTTTAAAAAAAAAAAAAAAAGAACCTCTCCCACTGCTCAGGACACCCTGACTGGGTCTTGTGGGACACCCACCTCACAGGATAGCCCTTGGGCACAGAGGGTGGTCATGGGGGTCACAGCCAGTCTGTTTCCAGGGGCTTGGAATTCAGCAGACGTATCGACCTGTGTCTCCCTGAGCCCCGGAGACTAGAAGCTGGGTCTTGCAGATGCCACCAAGGGTGTCACTCCTCACACTCCAGGGCCTTTTGGGATTGCACTGGCACATGCCACGCCTGGCAGCACTTTTCCTGTCCCACAGTTCATGTTTAGACCTGGGAAAATTCCAGCATTGTGGCCACACAACTGAAGCAATGAGGCAGCGCCTGACTCCTTCCTCAGAAACACCGAGGAACAAAATCCAACATTCCCCCAATTTTAGAACACCTACCTGTTCTGAACTAAAAAGTCTACAATGTGGAGAGAAGTCCGGTCCACGGATCTGACTGCAAGATGGAGGGCAGTTTCATCTGGCTCCTGCAGACCAAACAGAAACATTCCAGGTTCCAAGGGGAGCATTCAATTTTGTGTCCAACATGAGTGAAATCATGAATCTCTCTTCCAAAAGCCTTTTATCCTTTCCTTCAAAAACTTATTGCTGATGTTAGCTCAGAGCCAGTCTTCCTCAGCAAAAAGAGGAAGATTAGCATGGATGTTAGCTCATGGCTGATCTCCCTCACCAAGAAAAAAAAAAAAAACAAAAAAAAACGTATTGCTGGGCTGGCCTGGTGGCTCAAGCGGTTAAGTGCGTGCGCTCCACTGTGGCGGCCCAGGGTTTGCCGGTTCGGATCCCGGGCGCACACCGACACACCACTTGGCGAGCCATGCTGTGGCAGCGTCCCATATAAAGTAGAGGAAGATGGGCACAGATGTTAGCCCGGGGCCAGTCTTCCTCAGCAAAATGAGGAGGATTGGCACATGTTAGCTCAGGGCTGATCTTCCTCACAAAAAAACAAAAAAAAAACAAAAAACTTATTGCTAAGATATATAGTGTCCCTTTAATCTCCACGGCAAACTCTCTGCCCACAGGAACCCACAGTGTAGAGCCTGGTCATAGTCCTCCTTACTCTATGGGCAATAAGGAGAAATTCAGAGGTTTCACTTTAAAGCCCTCTCAATCTTTCTGTCCCTGTATCAACAACATGAGGTGTTGCCTATAAGCAGGGGTCTCAGTTCAAAGACTCTAGAAAGGTTTCCCAGGCCTCCTGTAACCCAGTCTCTTATACCTGCTCCCTGAATAAATAAAATGTATATTTTTAAAACACAGTTAAAGTTCTTCATTCTATACTTAGGGTTAAGGCCACCAATGCTAATACCCAGAAGGTCGTTAATTCATACTAGGGGGAACATGACTACCACTGCCTTTTCTGAAAGTAAGTTTTGGCAGGTGAGGGAGAGACCAAATGAGGGTTGTTTTGGGTAGGTGGGTGGGTGAGAGCTGGAGGTGAAGGAAATATCCACGGAATGGGGAACCTGGGGCAGAGGGAGGCACTCCCCATTCTGACTGCCCCACCCGCTTGGTCAGCCAGGGCCACTCCCTCCTCCTCTGGCGGCCACACAGCTCAGAGCTGAGCACGGCCCTGGACCCTGCTGGCTTGAGTTCTCGCTCAGCCTCGAACACTGAAGAGTAAGGCTCCATATAACGTGCTTAGCTGCTAAGAGGTGATCCCCAGCCCCATGCGTCTTTATGCTGAGGGTAAGGAGGTCTGAGGGTGCAGCCACAAGGGCACCTGTAGAAGAAAATTAGGACACACTGCCCCGTGACACTGCTGGTTTCTTGTGGACCTCATTCTGACAGTAAGGCCCCACCTCCTTGAGACCCCACCCTCTGGACAAAGTTCCCTGAGGAAAGTAGGGGATGTCTCTCCCCCTCCCGTTCCCTTAGAGGGGGAGCAGGCGGGGAGCGGTGCCCAGGCTATCAGAGCTTTCCTCCCAGCGAGGCCTCGGGGGCTGCTGCTGAGGCCCGGCTGCCAGCTCCTCGTGTGCCCAGGAGGCGCTAACGCTGCTCATGGAAGACGGGGCTTCTCTCAGGGTGCTGGGGCCTCTGGGAAGATGCTCCCTCACCCCAGTAGATGGGCTTCCTTTCCAGAGCCAGCATTACATTTTTGGTTTAAGAATAAACCACCAATTTCAGTTCCCAGAACTCAGAGCTGTACCTTTCCAGAGAGTTACACGACTTAGCATTTCTGATTACATTGCTTTGCCACTTTTTCCCCCTCTTTCTTTTCTTTTCTTAGAAGTAGCAAGCCACACTCTTACATGTCCATTGGCCAGTGGGATTTTCTCTGTAAGATCCACACCATCAGCGTACGCTTGGAGTAATCCAAAAATATCTCTTGTTTTGACGGCCTCACAAAGGCTGTGGAGTTTTGCTGCGTTATCCCCATGTTTTTTCCTTGCGTATTTCCTCTCAATGTACTTGGCAGTGATGTAGTCCTTTCTTGCATTCCTGAAATTACACATAATTGCCTTGTAGATGATTAAGGGCCTCTCTTCAAATATATCCAACGTCCATTCATCTATAACAACTTTTAAAAAATCCTGCCCCCACCTTCCTTGTAGGAAGTACCAGCAGGAAAACAAGGCGGGGAAGCAGCCGCCACGTGGCTCTACCGCAGCCCCTGTGTTCACTGCGATGTCTCAAGCACTTTCAGGAAGCACTGAACTCCTCTAGTTTCCAACACAAGAGGCAGCAAGGCCCAGAGCAGGGGTCCTGGGGCCTCACCCGGGTTCCAAGGGCCAGACGCATGACTTACTCAGCACACCTGCCGCTGCAGCCTCATCTCTGCACTCCATCTCCTGAAGTTCTGTGCTCCAGCCTCACCAAGCTGTCTCCCTCGCCACCGCATGCATATCTCATGCCTTTGCTTACCCAGGTCCCTCTACTCGGCATCCTTTTATGCCTTCTCTTGTGGGTAATCCACATGCCTTCAACATTCGTTCATGGGTCACCTCCAGGCTGCCTGGCCTGACCTTTTATTTTATTATTTTTGTTTTGTTTTGTTTTGTTTTTTAATTTTTATTTATTTATTTATTTTCCCCCAAAGCCCCAGTAGATAGTTGTATGTCATAGTTGCACATTTTCTAGTTGCTGTATGTGGGACGCGGCCTCAGCATGGCCAGAGAAGCAGTGTGTCTGTGCGCGCCCGGGATCTGAACCCGGGCCGCCTGCATCAGAGCACACGCACTTAACCGCTAAGCCACGGCCTGACCTCTTTTAGAACACACTCTCTCTGTTGGCTTGCCTGCCTGCCCGCCCACTGGGGCTGGGAGAAGACCACAACTTCTCTTTCAAGGGCACCATGCCTGGGAGAAAAGGTACTCACAACACATCCGATGAACCAATACGAACCATCGACCTTCTCCATAGCCTATTTTCCAGCCTTTACACGGCACTGTGTTTACAGACTCCACCTCTCCAGGGAGCGTGGAGTGGCAGCAACTCCGGGGGAGCCAAACAAGCCTGGTTCAAATCCCACCCCCACCACAGCCCGACAGTGTGACTTCAGACAAGTATTTCATCTCTTTAGGCCTCAAGTGGTCTTATTTGTGCAAGTGTGCATGACATATCCTTGCAGAACTGTGAGAAGTACATGAGTTGACACATCTGCTGAGCACACGGTAGGTCCTTAGGACCTTAAAAAGTGCTGATGAATTTAGAAGATGGAGAGCAAGAAAAACAGCAGCTCCTGGTCAAGAGGACTCTCAGCATTTACTCCAAGGTCCTTAACACACAACAGCAGCAGCAATAAAAAACATAAGATTTTTGACAGACACAGTAAATGCTAAATTCCCTGTGACCATCAAGTCAGAAAGTCAAGGAACAACCCAAATACCCATCAGTTGATGACTGGATAAGCAAAATGTGGTCTATCCACACAATGAAATACTATTCAGCCATAAAAAGGAATGAAGTACAGATTTATGCTACATCGTGGGTGAATCCTGAAACCATTATGCTCAGTGAAAGAAGCCAGACACAAAAGGCCACAGATTGTTTGATTCCATTTACAGGAAATGCCTGCAACAGGCATATCTGTAAAGACAGAAAGCAGATCAGCAGTTGCCCAGGGCTAGGGGGTCAGGGGGGACAGAGTGGGTGATAGTGAACTTATTTTACCCAACAGATCTGCCAGAAATATAGGGAGAAAGACATGATGGGATGGATCCCCTTGGTTTCTCTTGCCCATGCTTTCTGGAAAGGGTGAAGTGCACTGAAATTTCTACAGGCTGGGTGGGGGAGGGGAAGCTGAATGACAAGAAGGTCCCGAATCCCCCACGGGCTGGTGGCCAGCTCTGAGAGGGCACACAGAGCTGGCCATTCAGGTCATTCAGAGCCTGGGCCCTTGGTCAGACGCCAGATCTCACACCGGCTCCACACTTCCCATCCAGGTGACTTCGGGCCAGCTACTCAACCTCTGTAAGCACTGGCCTCCTGGTCACGACGACACCTGCTCACAGGGCTGTGGCAGGATTAAACGAGACAGCACACGCAAGCATGTGGCACAGTGTTTTGGAAACACCAGCTATAACTACTGTGACAGCACGGAACGAGGCGGGGCCGACTGGCACGGGGCAAGTGGAACCTGGTCAGCTCCTTCCAGCTCAGGCACTGCTCACTCCCGCCCTGCCACCAGGGCCGTGCCCACGGCATCTGCTTTGACTGCTGGTCAGTTACTGAGTCCTTTACGGCAGCACCACGGGGGTCCTGGCTGAAGGGCACAGGGTTCAGGAATGGGCAGGTCAACTCCAAGCTCCCAGGAGGTGGGGGGGCTTCAGTCCCCAGAAAGAAACACCACTGCTGACTACCTTACCAAATAAATCCACCACCCGGGTGTTTATAAAATGCAGATTCTGAGTGAATTGTGCTGATCGACTTGTCCATGTATCCCTCCACATGTACAGTTCCCGTGGGCTTACAAGTCGAGTTGAGATATGCCGTCTCATTTGATCCTCACAACAATGTTATCAACTTTTTTTCACTTCTACCTTGCAGAGAAGTAAACTGAAGTCCATCGAGGCGACATTAAATTCTGTTCCCTCAAGCAGCTGGCAAGCTCCCCGAGGGCGGACCCCACGTTACTGGTCTGGGTTCTCCTCACAGGGCCTCTTGGCACAGCACGATGTGCAGGAACTGCTCGGGGACTATTTAGGCTTGATGACGTGGCCTATCTGACAACCTGTCTAATGATTTCAGCTGTACGGGTCTCATGATGGGCAGCTGGACCAGATAGTTGTCCAGTTTTAGGCAGTTTCAATAATCACTGTGGGACAATCATCACTGTGACGCCCCAAGGAAGGAGCTAGAAATAAAGTGGATCCCTTACTTATTTTTTCAATGTATTATTCATCTGTCCAGGGCTTTGGGTCACTGGAAGGCCGTCCCTGCACAAGCTTGGGCACAGAGCACAGATCTGTCTTACGCAACACCGTGCTCCACGGCTTCATGAAGGAAATTCACTGCCAGTGTGACCCCATCCCTTTGTTTTGAAAGGCGTAGGCTTTTGGAGAAAAGCAATGAACTGAATATAACTATACGTTTGGCATGTGTTCAGAAGGAGGGGCTTCTTACACTTCTGAAGGACAAGGCACGTCTAAGGGTCCTGAATCACAGAAGAGAAACAGCTCTGGGCTCTGTAAGCAGACACAAATCTGGCTGCTTCCCCCAACACTTATATCTCCCAATAACCCCAAAATCCATCTGGGGACTCACAGGCCACAAGAGGGTCTTTGGCTTCCCCTTCAACAGATTTATCTGCAGATGGTGTGTTTTTCTGAGATAAAGCCAGAAATACTACATTCCTTTTCATCAGGAAGTCAAATATTAGCTTATTTAAGTAGGCACATAGCTGGGATTTTATCCTGGGCTTGTGGACTCATTAAATATGTATTTCCCACCACAAGCAAAATACAGTGGTGGGAAATACAACAATGAGTAAAATGCAATTTATCTGAAAAATATAGGTAAATACTTTGGTATAATACAAAGTGGGATGAAAAGCTTGAAAATAGAGCCAAATGCTGCAGAAGCACAGAGTGCCCAGCAATTAATTTCAGCTGAGGAGGTATGAAAGTAGGTGGCATTTTGCCATCACGTTGATCATCTACCCTCATTTTGAAAAAAAAAAAAAAAAGGGCGGCGTAAACTTCCTTTTCATTTGTGCCAAGGTTGGTGGGGAGGGGTCTCAATGCAGAGAACATTTATACTGAAGGATTCCAAGCAGAGAGTATTCATTTTTTTAGAATCATCTAGCCCCAGAACAAACAAATTTTCTGCTCTTATAAAGTACCCCTGGTACTTGGAAGAAATTATTTATCACATGCTTTATTCAAAATTGATCAGTATTACAGCACTTCAGGAGCCTGGTACCTTCACTGCGAGAGCAGGCATCAAACAGTAAATCAAGGTGCCGTACTGGACCACGAAACTTCCTTTACTAAACAGATCTTCTAGCTAACCCAGCGAGAGTCAGTTTACCTCTGTAACTCTACAGCTGAAACCTAACTTGAGAGGACCTGAATTTTTCAGGGTATGTGGAATCGGTGTATGGCACTTACGTTGCATCTGCTGCCCACACCCATGGTGGTCAAGCAGAGCTGCAACATCAACTAAGCCTGATAAGTTTTACCTCATCACCCCACCAGTGTCCAATGACTGGGAGGTGTAGGGTGCTGTCTCCCTGGTTATATTAGAGGAAAAGGGCTCTGAGAAGTTAACAAGCCTGCCCAGGTGCCATGATAGGGTAAGGACTGGAATTTCTATGTCCCATACTGTCTCTCCGGGTCTGGGCAAGAATACAGATTTGGAACTCAGATCTTCATCAAGAGAGGACATTAACTCTGTAAGCCTCATGCCTGATGTCAAGAACCACACATCATCCCATCTCAAGGAAATGCTACATCACAAACATCTGCTACAGGACTCAAACATGGACTGACTCTAATCAACACCAACCCAACGCTCACCTCAGATACCTGATACCCGAAAGGGTGCAGACTCGACATGGTGCCTGTTCATTCTTTTGGCTGTCTACACGCCCTTCCTATATTAAGTTACCTAACCCGAGAAAAAGAACACAGATCTGCACCCTCAGCTTCCCAAAGACATGCCCCCACAAAACGGTTTCAAAAATCTAAATTCTCTGCTTTTGCAAAGGGCCCATAAACTACCACCTATTTAAGAGTAAAACCTCTCATAAAGCCACTGTTCACTGTTCCCTACATCCTTTAGGAGGACTGGTGCCATCAATTCTCTCTCAGGCTTATTCCAAAAGAAAAATATTGTCTCTGTAAATAAGTTTTTCTACTCTCTCTTATCACATATTTCTCATTTCCCTTCACCTGTGAGAACACTTTGATCCCGACTCACCACTCAAATGCAGGTGCTGTTTCTTTTAACTGGCCTAGGGCCCTCGCTCGCTTCTCTTCCTCCTGCCTGCCACACTTTGCATCACTCTCTAGGGTAAACCACCCCCAGCCCTCTTGCAGACAGACAGGCCACTCATCAGTCGAAGTCGAAGTGGGCAGTCAGGCACTGCCCTGACCAGTTGGTCTCCCATCCACCTCTCTCCAGGACCAGCGCAATCTAGGGATTTATGCTTTGTTTGATAAGACTAGCAGGAAAATCCCCTGTTGTAAGCTCTGCCTCAATGGGCTAGCTGGATGCATGATGAGGCACAAAAGCTTCTCAATCAGGTTTTGTATCAATAGCAAAATGAAAACAAAAAAATTGTTTTTTGAAGGAAACAACATACTCCATATTGGCAAGGACACTGGGAAAGAGAATGATACATAATCATGTATCTATGACAACTAACCCTCCCAGTGGCTCAGAATTTATGCGGAGAGAACTAAGATGGGAGTGACAGAGGGTCAACGGCAGAGGCAGAAAGGTGAGGGTGCACCCACACACCACCAGCAGAGGGCGACACTCACCATACCTCCCTCACATCACAGAGCGTCAGTGTACAGGCTTTCCTGTGGCCTCTTCCTAAGAAAAACAGCCACACCAAATTTCCATTTGGACACCCAAAAAGTGTGACTTAAGAAGCGACTTAAAGTGACTTAAGAAGAAAACAACTTAGGCTGACTTATTCCCTAAACAAGCAACAACTGACTTCCCCAAAACTTGTCATCCTGCTGCCTCTCAAGGCTCCAAGGCCAACCCTGGAAGCAGGAACAGCCAGTCCCATACTTACATGTCGCTACCCGGGCTGGGTTTGACCGCGTCCTCAGCTGGAAGGCAACACTCCATGATCTCATTAAAGCCTGCATTCCCAATATTCTTGGCAAGCTGCAAAAACAAAAGTCTATTTCAGGGTACTCAATTATTAACACATTCCACTGCTTCACAGTACTCAGACATCTGATGATTTATTTAATGGCCACTAAGAAATAGAGCAATAAAGTGGTTTGCCTTTAATGAAGACAGACAAAACCCAAACCCCAAAGGTACCCATAAAACGAGAGTGAGGCAGCTGCAGGCCTATTACAGTGGAGAGTCCTCATAAAGCGTCCCCTGGACAGAACGCCTAGACGGACAGGGAGAAGCAGTAACTTGGTTCAACTTGAGTTTCTTTCCTTACCCACCCCCGCAAAAAAACCTGCCCCACCTGAAACGGACCTAACAACCTTTACTTACGCCAGAGAGGAGGCGGCTCCGATTCCAGGAAGCCAAGATTCGGGTTCAAAGCAGGGTTCTATTTACTGGCTTTGTGACCAGGCAAGTCAGTTTACCTGAACTTCGATTTTTCATCAGTAAAATGGGGATGATAACCTACCTCGCTGGGTTGTAATAATGATAAAATGGGACAACTGAGGCGAAAGCATTCAATAAACTGAAGCACTAAAAATGTAATGTATTCGTTCCAATGTGAGGTCCCCACTTGCCAATCAACCTTCTGACTTGTTAAAAATTAACACATTTTAATCAATGCTTACTGAATACCAGGCGGCAGATACCAAGATAAATGTCACAGTTTGTCTCAGCCAGACTACCCTACTGTATGGCAGCCGGCATTCTTCCACATGGAGGCACGAACACGAGGGGGCTGGGAGTTCCTCAGGAGCAGGGATTCACTCGTCTCATTCCCAGCCCTCAGCTCCGCACCTGATAGAAACCGGTTTCCAGACCAGATTCTTCCATGTTTAATGAAACAAAGAAAACTGAAGGGCAGCACCTTGCACCGTGCTTTGAGAGAACAGATATTTCATTTCCATGTTGAAAATGATGCAATGGGGAGCAGTGATACTTCTGATATTGCTCCTCTCGATGAATTATGTGGATAAAGGGTTAATGGGGATGTCCCGGGAGTCAAGGCTGCTGCCTGAACGGCCTCTTCTCTCTCCAGGGAAAAGTGGCTGAAGGAACTGCTACAGGGATCTGGGTTAGAGAAGGTCGAACTTCTTGGGGGCAAGTAACATGAACTAGTGAAGGAGAGTGTGAGGGATGCTGAAGGACGAAAGAAACGTGGGGGACGGCTTAATAATCTGGTGATGAGCCTTCCTGATTTTACCTTGTCCTTGATAAGTGGACAAAGCTTCCTAGATGGCCCAAAGCAACAAGCACTAACCTACTCTGCCTTGGTCCTCAGTCCTGGCCCGGTGGCCTCAAGCCAATGTCAGGTTCAAAACCCCAGATGCCTTACTGCAGTTTCCCCAGAGACGAGGCTGATGGCCAGGGCGGCACACCACGTCAGGAGGCAGGTGCTGTTGTACAGTGGAGCCAATGCTGGTGAAGGATTTCTTGGGTGTCAGATCCAAAGCTGAACCTTAGTATCTGAGGACCTGTTTAGAGCCAGGCTCTAATGGCCCCACCTTTCAATATAGTGTGGACACCGTGCCCTAGCCAAGCGCAGTTGTTTTCAGAAGGTGAGTGACAGAACAAGCCACAGCTCCCTCTCTGTGAGCGAGGGGCCCCGATGCCTCCTGGTCTGTGGTAAGCAGATGGGAGAGGGGCGCGAGGAGGAGAATTCCCTGGGAATCAGAAAGCTGCTTCCCTTCTGCTTGGACTTGGCTCGTTTACTAGGGGACAGCTGGTCCAGGGAGCCACCACATCCGTGCGTCACACTCGTCCAACGCAGAGAAACGCGCCACCTCACAGTTTTGCCAAGTTCCAGTGAATCTTTCAGCCTGCAGAGAACCCTTTGGAATCATCAACAAAACAAAAGCATTTGCAGATGGACGCTGCAGGGTCATGTCAAGAAAATGTGGGGCCCAGCAGGCCAAGAGAGCAGGAGCCAAGGAAGCAGGAAGGCTGGTGTTAAGCAGCCCCAACACAGAGCACCATCGCCCAGGACTCTGAGGGCTGTGCTGAGGCAGACATGAGGCCAGATCAGATCTAGGAAAGCAGGGTGTTTAGGTACTGCATCACTCAGAGAAGGGAACCCCAGCTGCAGGTCAGTCCACGCATGCACACTGAGCCCTCAGGTGTGCTGGGCCCTGGGCATGAGACACGACCCGGCTCGAAGGGAGCTCAGTCTAATGAGACAGAGACGAATTAAAAAGGAAAAGATGTGGGCCGGCCCCGTGGCTTGGTGGTTAAGTGCGCGCGCTCCGATGCTGGTGGCCCGGGTTCGGATCCCGGGCGCGCACCGAGGCACCACTTCTCCGTCCATCCTGGGGCCGAGTCCCACATACAGCAACTAGAAGGATGTGCAGCTGTGACATACAACTATCTACTGGGGCTTTGGGGGGAAAAATAAATAAATAAAATCTTTAAAAAAAAAAAAAAAAAAAAAGGAAAAGATGTGATGAGGGCTGGAAAAGAAGCATGTACTGAGCACTGTGAGAATGGAGATGGCAAGTGTACATCAGCAGAGCATGAAACCCCTCAGCACCCTGAGAACAGGGGCCAGGAACTGCTCGTTTCTGAGACCCCTAGCACCTCCCTATGAAGGGTCCTCTGAGCCAAAAAGAGACCTTGGATTTTTCTCTAAAAATTGTTTTAGACTTTGGGGTGAGGATGGGGGAAACCTGTCCCCTGTTTTCACATTTCCAGGTGGAGGGACATCAATTACTGTGACATTCTTCTCTGATTTTACACACCCCAAGGAGAGGAATGGGTAAGTGAGAGAAACGATTCCCCGACCGTGGAGCTCAAGAGAAGAACGGGCGCCCACAGGATGTGGCACTAGGGTCGCTCTGCTCCTCCAGCCCGTGCCTGGGCGGGTGAGACTGAGTCTGAGGCTCAGCAGGCCAGCACCCTGTTACCACACGTGTGAACCACCAGACGTGTCAACCAATTTGGCTTCTTTCAATAACAAATTGGACTTGATCTCTCAACCGGTTCCAAATTCGTGTAGGGAAATGGTTTGTTATTTACTGGGCCCCCTCAGATCCCAGAAGGGTGGAAGCCTTCTTGATCACGGCACACCTTTAACATACAAACAGATAAAAGAGGCCCAGGGAAGTGAAGGAACTTGACCCCAGTACGCAGAGTTAAGAAACGCAGTGAGCTCCAAATTGTTGCCTCCAAAGAAGGGAGCACAGAAAAATACTCTGCAGTGTGCGGGAGAAGTTTATATACCATGTATTCACCTGAGTCTTTAAAAATTCTACTTTTGATATATTTTACCAAGTATATAATACACTTCTTAGTAAGTAGTAAAGATATAAGTTGTTATATATATATATGTATATGTTTTGGTGCTCAATTTTCTCTGATAGGGTTTGTGGTTAAAAAAGTTCAGAGCTGTGATTTAAAAAAAAGATTAGGACACAGGCTCTGGTGTGTGACGGTCTAAAGTGTAAACCCTGGCTCAGTCACACAGGCAAATGACTTCACCTCTCTGGCCTCATTTTTAAAATGGAGTTCTCGTTTAGGTTAGATGGGACGTGCGTAAGGAACCCAGACGACGCCTGAAGGATAGCAGTTGCTCAATAAATGATAGCCGGGACTAAGTTTCCTGTTGCCCTTAATATTCTGCGAGCGGCTTTACCTCAGCCCCAGGTGAACCAGCAGCCATAAGCTGTAAGGAAGTTCTCGGTCTCAGAGGGCTCTCCTTTCCACACGCGCTCTCTCAGATCTGGCTGTCGGCTGACCTGCTTTATACCTGACAGCTTGTTAAGCAACCTCATGAGAAGGGAGGAGAAAGGCACGAAACAAAGGCCTGAGTCAGTAACATGTGCTCCTAAGGTTCCTGACCCTGTTCCCCAACTTGATGGAAGAAGATTTTTAAATTACTGACTCAGTTTCAGTCTCATAATATCAAAATTTCCTTTATTAATTTCACTCAGGATGTGAAATTGACCATATGATACCAGCCCCCTAGTACCAATGATACTGTTTTAGCATGACCAGAAAATCAATGCTGAAGTCATGATCTTTTATGTCAAGGAGGAAATTTATCTTTTTAAAATCTGTGCTTACCAGGAGGTTTTCTGAAAGCAGGTTGCTTTACAACTGAAGGATATTAAGCTGGTGCATGCTAACGTAGTTCAAGTGGCACGACTTCCTGGGACTAGTCTAATTAATACTTCAATTACCCCAGTTTCTTTCCACTGCATGACAAGTGAGTCTAAAAGCAGGTAAAGAGAAGAAAGATTACTACTAACCAGCCACCTTCATGAATGCTGCTGAAATCCGTCAATTAACATGGAAATCAAGCATGCTTCGAAAGAACAACAAATTAAGAAGGAAATGGTCAAACCACTACAGCACAGCATCCAGGGAAACCGTGTGCAAACTCGAGGCCAGAAAACGATTTTGAGAATTAAGCCAAAGACTTTTATCATGAGGAATATAGTGAGACCATATGGGAGGACAGGAGTGACATTTTATGGGGTGAGCATCCGTTTATTTAGGAACACAATGCCAGCCAGAAAATGAGAATTCCTGCTCATGTATTTGCTGTCTCTGTCAGGCCATTTCAAAGTCCCTTTCCTGTCACAGCACATCACCCTAAGATGGGGACTCTATTACTGATTTACCTGGAAGACAGAGAAACACTATTCCTGTAAAACACCCTTGTCCAGGCTGCACCCATGGAGATACTGGAGAGTTACTTTCTGGTTCACCCTCTTATTTCCTTAACAGGGTGTGAAGAGGTGTAACTAACATTTGCTGCACAAGAAAACATACTACTATGAACAAATCAGCCAAAGACCCTGACATCACTGCTCTATGAATCTGAAAGGTTCATAAACAGAGAAGACAACCAGAGTGAACTTTCCGGTGGATGCACACATTAGGACATGGGGATCGTTTTTCTGAAAGGATTTTGTTAAAGTCATCTTGGAGGAGGAGATAATAATGATAGCTAATATTTTAGCTTTTATTACGTGCCAAACATAATTCTAAGCACACATGCAGAGAGAGAGAGAAAGAGAGAGGGCGAGAGAGGGAGGTGTGTATGTCAAGCCTTTAGAAAATTCTTTGTTTAGGCATCTGTCTAAGCAAAATAAAATAACTGGGTGCTTTAAAAAGGCTTGAAATTCCTATGATTTACAAATGAATACTAACACCTGACACACACTCTCCATCTACTGCTTAACTTAGTGGCTGAGGAATAAGGGTTTTGGACATAATGCCAAGCCCACAGTCCTGGCACACAGTAACGGGGTTGAAGTGAGAAGTGGGAGATGGATGTCCACCTCCTGTGAGCAACCAGACGACCAGACAGGCACAGTTTGGGGGCAAGCAGAGGGTAGAAATAAATCCTACACGATTCAGGGCCTTCTGCCCTTAGTTTTTCTGATAACCACCAAGGAAAAGAGACTTGGATTGGGAGAGTTTAAAACTACGGCAGGGACTAGATGTGGAAAGATCTGCAGACATTGACTGGGCAGGCTCTGCCTGATTTCTCCATAATGGTTCAGAGTTGGCCAAACTCTAAACTCCTATGAGAATATTTGGACAGAGGCTCTGGGAAACAGAAACCAAGATCTGAACCAGGGATCAGAGTCACCTCATCTTTTCGCCAAAATGGAAACATTTTCCTTTCAGCCTTCTTTTGTGTTTTCCTCTTTGGTAGGTAAGAGAATCTCATGAAGATCATCAGTTAAATTTTTGAGACACATTCAAGCAGGTATAATAGATGTTTTGGGGTCAGGCTCCTACCAGCTCACAAGAGCCATTATTAAATGCTCACTTGGCCATTATTAAAATTACATCATATAAACTCATAATTAAATTATATTAAAAACAAAGTAATAAATACTCAAAACTCATCACTTCCTAACTATTTTACTACATTTTACTATCCTCTATGTTTTTGAAGTTACTTATGACTCTTGTATTTGAATAGTGAACTTACTATATAAATGGTGTGCTACTGAACATCTCTTTCCCACTGCACACTCAGTAATTCACATGGATAGCCTGAAACTGACCACGGTGGGAGTATTTACATCATGGGAACAGGCAGATTACAAAGGCTATTTCCCCCCTGAGAGTTGGCTGTCAAATGTTTGTTAAGGAATGGGGATGGGGGATTAGGAGGGACAGCAGTGATGTTTAAATGCTTACCACTGGGCAAGACAACCACTGCAAAGGCCAGTTTACGTCCCAGCTTCCTCAAAGGTTAAGAGTGTGAGCTCTGGAATCAGATTAAAGGGGTCCCCACCCCAGATCTGGCCTTTTTTTTTTTTTTTTTAAAGATTTTATTTATTTATTTATTTTCCCCCAAAGCCCGAGTAGATAGTTGTATGTCATAGCTGCACATCCTTCTAGTTGCTGTATGTGGGACGCGGCCTCAGCATGGCCGGAGAAGCGGTGCGTCAGTGCGGACCCGGGATCCGAACCCAGGCCGCCAGCAGCGGAGTGCGTGCACTTAACCGCTAAGCCACAGGGCCGGCCCAAGATCTGGCCTTTTAATAACTATACAACCTTGGGCATATTTAAACATTCTAAGCCTCAGTTCCTCCTTTGTAAAATGGGGACAATATACCAAGGTCATAGTGTTGTAGTGAGGGCGAATGAGCTAATGCAAATAAAGTGCTCTACAAAGTGCTTCGTACAAAATAAGCAATTAATATTTTACCATAAATTACTTAATACTTCCCACTGTTCTAAGAACATCAGTGTGACACTATAGCAACTGCCGCAGTTTATCAGTGCTTGCTGGGAAGTAATTGTGTTTCTTTGAAAACAGACTGTGAGAATCTCAAATCTACACCCTCAGCAGTTACACAGGACGCCACTTGCACACACACAGCTCTACAATGTAGGCTGTACACATTATTACCTTAACAATAACAACAGTGTGTAACCAAGAATACACTGCTCGGCTCTTGCTGAGGCTAGCTTACTCTTAAACTTGAAGTCACTGAGGATGTTACTAAATGGGGGTACCAGAATCCACTCCAGTTTCTCCCAACTTTGTCTTTCAGGACCATAAAGGAATTCCTTGAAAAGACTGGAAGGATTTGACAGGACAGTTCAAAATGCATTACAAGTTTAGACACGTTGGATCCAGAGTAGTCATCAATAAGATTTACGGCCCCTTGAGAGGTATATTGACCCCAATAATTGATTTTCTGTCAAGACTACTGCTCTTGACATTAAAATCAATGGCAATCAATATCCACTTAATATTTACTGTCCACCCAGCTACCAGAAGAAAGAATTACAAACACTGCTTTCTAACCAGCAGTCATGGACTCAAAACAGCCCACAAAAGCCCAGGTTTTAGGTGTCCCCAAAGCACTGCCTCAGTGTGACATGCCCTGCTCCTCAGTAGGGCCACAGACGCAGTACTCTGCGAGTCAGTTACTTCACAGAAAACGCTTCAGCGTCCTAGTAACGATCTATATTGCATGGCTTACGTGCTATCACTGGACCAAGAATGGAAGACTTTTTTTTGAAACAAAGACCAACATCTCTCCTAAAGAGTGACAATAAGGGGCAGAGCAAAAGTCCACCAGAGACTTAAGCCAAGCAGTGACCAGACGCGGCAGAAACCGGCTGAGGACTCAGGGAGAAGGAGGCCTTTACCGTCCCTGGGCTTTGCGTTCTGCATCTGTTCACTGTGGGGTGAACGAGGCCACGCGCCATCCTACTGCAGGATCTTACACTAGTCTCAATGCTCCTTTTTGAGTTTCACTTCACTTTATTCATTTAAGAATAAAGTTTTGCAACAAGAAGTGCCCTCAACTACTAGTAGCTGAGAAGCGGGAATTACCAATGAGCTTCTAATTGCCCAAATCCATCTGGCAAATATCAACCACCACCAGCCCAGTGGAATTTCAAGAAACCAAAATGAATTTGATGGCCAAAATAAAAAAATTAACTTTCATCTCATTTATTTCCATTCCAAAATCAAGGATTTGAAAATTACCAGCAGCTCAGATGTTCCCAATACATCTAACGTCAGGGACTGCATCCTGGAGTAGTGAACGCCCAGCTCTCGGTGGATTCCAGAACACTCAATGCAGGTCAGAATGCCAAGATTGGTGGACAGCCATGTAGGATCTGTCAAAGAGAACAGGGAAAATTGGAGCTTGTAGCAAGTAGAGGGCCAGCGTCAGAACTTTGTTCCTGCATAGTTACTGAACAGGGAGTTTTGAGCACGAGCACTTTTTTGATCCTTGGTGCAGTCAGAACCCTCATTCATCCATAATTACCACTAGTTTACACACAATACACATATACACACATGTCTGTTTTCTCTCTTCCTATCCCTTCACCTCCCTAGCCTTCCATTTATTTATTAAGTGACAGGTGCTGTCTGCACAAGAACAAATAGGGCACAGTGCCCTCTAGTGGTCACAGGTCCCTGGAGGGCCATCCTGAACACACACACACCCATTACCAACCTGGTCTTACCACCAAAGGAGAAGGAGAGGAAACACAAGGCCCACCAAAAGTCTGGTTCTGTAGGGGAACAGACTTAAAACATACACGTCTACAGGTTCACAAAGATGCTAACAGTAACGACAGAGAACACATACTATGTGCTGATTCCATGCTCCGTGTTCAGTACTTTGGGAGTAGCAACGATGGCTCACATTGTGAGAGCTTCAGAAACTACAGATCCTTTCATATAATACCTCATTTACTGCACACAAGAGCCCCAGGAGGTGAACAGGGCAGGTGTCTTCACAATGCTCAGAAAGAAGGGCCTTGCTCGAGGCTGCAAGAGGATACAGAGCCAGACCGCAGTCCTGCCTTTATCTGGGCTCAAACCCATGCTTCCACGAGCCACAGTGTTTCTCCTCAGAGCATGTTTACTTATTCACTGAAGCAACCTACTATGCGCTTGGCCTATATCTTTCTATGTGCTTGGCACACAGTAGGTACTCAAGAAATGCTTGACAGATGAATGCTGAATTTACTGAAAATGGGGCATTCAAAATAAAACAGCCATTATCACAGCCCATAAGTACAATTCTCTTTAGAATTGCTTGTTGCCCTTAGAAACTCACAGCAGGTAAATATCGCAACCTTGGTCACCAGATAATTGTGAAGTTATTTTTAAAATGTTTATGTTAAAAAATTTTATGCACGTTAGGAAATACTTCTGGGCATCTGTGTTTTCTCTTCACAAGACCTGTTCTACAGTATCGACTGTCCCATGCGTTTCGCAGGTACGATACCCATATCGTCTTACCATTTTTAAAAAATGTACATAGCTTTGACTTCTTTATGAAAGTGTTCTAAAAATCTAAGTACTACACTAGCCTTATCTTTTCTTAAGAAAAAGCACGATTCACTACTTATCACCCCTTAAAAGGTAAGATCCAAAAAGATCTTAACAGATGCCGCCAAAAAGATCTTTTTAATGGGTCCAAGACCCCATGAGATAGTTCCTCCAATTACCCCCAAATATAGCCTTTAGGGTTATACGAACCTCACGGCACTTCTCAACTGTCCACTCTATTTTTGTTCTGTCTGTTTTTTATAAAAATTGTCAGAGAATTACAGGAGTGAAAAGGTAACTGACCATTCTAGCCAAGCCACAATCTCTCTCATGTTACAAATATTCAGAAAACGCTCCTCCATAGCTCCCCCACTCCAACACCTTTCCATCTTAATTAGAAGAATGTCAACTCCCTAAACTTATTAATACTAGTTGTTAAAATCTGTAATGATACTCTGTCCATTAAAGATGAAGCCCCTAATAGGCTTTATTCAAATGCAGAAATAAACATCTCATTTTATAGAATGTGATAGCTAGAAGGGTCCCAAAACAATCTTGACCGCTTCTTTCATTTACCATACAGGAAAAGTGGTATCTGACAAAGTATGTGGCTCTTCTAGGGTCACACCAGACAGCGGCTGCAAGTTACTGCAGAAGTTCCACAAAGTAGTACAAAGGGAGGATGGAATAAGTCCAGGAAAAGCTGCCCTTACGCAGCCTCTGGAGCCAATACAATGACCAGATGACCTTGATTTCACCCTCAGCCTGTGCTTCAGTTTTCATTTCTCAAAAAGCATTTAAATCTCTTCAGCTCTATCAAGCCATCTTCCCGTCCTGTTCTGAGGGCCGGAGGGAACATCTTCCCATCCTTCCCCCCACACAGTCTGTACACAGCTCAGTAAGCATTTGTGTGACGGGATGAGCTCAGGCTGAGCTGCACTGAACGCTGTGTTTGAAATGAAAGGGAAAACCAATAACTGGATTCTGTAAATCAGCATGGGATTTAAACGTCGGAGAGCTTGGGGAGGGGGGATGGGGTCACCTGGTGCCCCGCAGTCGCAACACACGTCATTGCCCGTCATCCTCTGGACTTCAGAGATGATCTCCTTGGTCAGTTCTTGGACTATGTTATTTTCTCCAGTATTGTCATCTCCCTTAAATGCATTGTTTAAAGCTTCTTCTTTGCTGTTTTGCAGCACAGACATCCATCTACAAAGTAATAGCGACACTGTGTCAAATCCCAAGAACAATCGCTAAGTCCCAGCCCAAGTCCCATCAGCAAAGAACTTACATCTGACATTCCTGTTCGTCTTCCGCTTGAAAGTGGTACGTCCTGTCATCTGCGCGGCAAGAGGAGTTGCATCAATTGTGAGCCCAGACGGTAATCCGTACACAATTCCAAAAGAAAGTGGTTTATAACCAACCTCAGGAATAATCTTAACTCTCTGCTAGGAAATTAATGATTTGTATAAAATCAAGCACTCCCTCACCTCCTTCACATGTCTGCCCTCTCGCTTGGTGACTGTGGCTTTGTAATGCAAATTAGTGAAACTGCCGCCCTGTTCCTCTTTCCTAAAAAGGCACAGCTTCCAAAAACTGAAGCTATTCAATGAAAACCCTCACTATCTTTTCTAAAGCTTTATTTTCTTGACTTACTACAGAGTTGGCCCCCAAAAAGTAATTGTTAAGGCCCTTTGAATAGGAAAAGCTTTTTCGAAAGCGAGTATCTTAGAAGATTTCTGGTTTTCTTAGAAAAAGATTATTAGGAAAATTCTGACAACAACATGCTACAGAAGCACTGAATTACAAATACAGCGAAAGCAAGAGGAACTGGTAAATAACGATGGAACACAAACTCTCACGCTCACACAAAGCTGGTGTCAGCACCGTTTACAAGGGTTTTGCCCCACTGCTGACCCCCTGTATGCACAGGAGAGAGGAGGGGGCACATGACATGTTATTCTTGCCAAAAATATATAACCTCAGTCCAATCGTGGGAAAGCATCAGAGAGACCCAAATTGAGGGACATTTAACCAAAAAATGGATCAACACTCTTCAAAAAAAAGTATCAAGGTCATAAAAGACACGGAGAGACTATAGAACTGCCATAGACTGTAGGAGACTAAGATAAAATAACAACATAGGGGGCGGGGGATCCTGGAGAGAATCCTGGAACAGGAAAAGGACATTAGCGAAAAATTGGTAATATCTAAATAAGATCCCTAGTTAATATCATCATACCAATGTTAATTTCCTGGTTTTGATAGTTGTACATCAATGATAGACACAAAAGATAACATGTACTATTAGACAACTGTACTAAGATGTTGACATTAGGGGGAGCTGAATGAGGGATATACAGAGGTTCTCAATTCTACAATCAGCCCAAAACAAAGCAAAAAAGAAAATTAAATTTAAAAAGAAAAAAGGGAGGAGATCTAACTTCTCTAGATGGCAGAGCAGTGACAGGCAGGGACTTTTCTTGGGGACACACAATAAACATCTGTGCCCCTCAAGATGAGCTAACACGTGATCTTCCAATAGCCATTTTTATATTCCTGGAAGCACTTTGGTTCTTAGAACAATTCTTGGTGAGTTGGCTGGGAGGATGCTGAGGCCCAGAGAGATTAAGTGGCAAAAACAAGCCTAGCTAGCAGCAGAGGAGTCAGGTTTTCTGACTCCTGGTCCGATACTCTTCCTACCACACCATCCCACCTTTTCTCCCCAACACCCAAGGGAACAGAAATACACCCTCTCTTATCCCCACCCTATTACTGAGGAGAGGAACAGAGTTTAAGAGAACTGTTTCAAGTTCAGAAAAATGAACTTAATTTTGTGATCCAAATGTTAGTGGTGGAGCCGGGCTGAAATGTCAGGAGTTTCTACCAGGTGCTGGAAAGAGAGGAGCAAAAAAGCCTCTTTCCCTGCTCCCTCCTTCTCCCTGATGTGCACGGCCTCATCTGGAGCAGGGAGCAGGAGGAGCAGGTCCACATCCCACACTAAGTGGATCTCAGAGTTCTCGGCAAGCTGTGCCAACGGCAGGTAGTGCCAGAGGTGTGTCTACCACTGAGCCACTTCATGGCCAGACCAGGCACAGCTCAGGAGGAAAAATCAAGGAGACAACGTCCTTTGGCTCATTTCGAATTCTAACACGTGAACATTGGAGAAGTGGGAAATCCTCTGTGAAACTTCCAGTAAGAATTCCCTCCTACAGACATGCTCTCAAGATGCCTATAAACCAAGAACAGTTTATAGGCACAAAGGGAGAAGAAAAGCAATAGGAGATTGTCAGTGACCATCAGAGCACTGACGTGATGGTGGTCTGGGAAAGGCCACTTCTCCGCCCGAGGCTCTGGCTCCAATTGGCCACAAACCTGTTGTGTGGTCTTGGAAAGTCACTGACTCCTTGTGGTCCATCCTACTCAGAGGACTGACCTAGATCATCCCTAAATTCTTCTGCATCCTCTGTCCCACCTAGAGTGAAACTGTGTGACTTGAGGATGACGGCTCTGGACTTGAATTCATAAAGGGTGGGGTCAATCTAAGGGCAAGATAGTTGGACAAACTCTCTGAAAGGCTGGCTTTGCCACAGAAATGTCCTCCTTGAGAGCCCGGCCCATTTACAGCTTGATCAGCGTGGGGAATCCCTGTCTGGGGGAAAGAATGGTAAAGGAGGATCTTGCAGGGAAATAAGTGAAGCCAGCGGTCAGTCTGTTACTCTTCTGGGCTCCCTGAGCGATTCCAAGACAGCTTTACAACGTGAGGGTCAGGAGGGCGGAGCGGTTCCTGGGGGCCTGGTAGACCCACATCTGAAATATTATCCTCGCTGCCCACCGTGCAGCCGGACTTATTTCTCCAACCACCCAAATGCTTTAGGAGCTTAAAGGCATCTTGGTGATAGTGCCCCACTAGCCTGGTCAGTAGGCAGAGGAGTCAGAAAGGGTAACAACCACGTTTCCTGACTCAGGCAGTATCAGACTCGAACCCAAGCCCTGACCTTCTCAGGACGCTCATCAAATCAGGGCTTCATCACTTTGCAGTGTCTCCCTTGATGACTCCTGGGGGTCTGACCAGTTTTCAAGTTTCTCTGTAACAACCCAAACCCACACAGCACTGAGACAAAGCATTTTCACTGCAAATACATCTGGGAGAGGAACACCTTTGGAAAACCAGCTAAGGATGAAAAATTCATAGGATTGGAATTCATTCTACCTCCTGGAGGACAGTGGGAAGGAGAGATGAGAGCTTTTTTGAAAGATGACAATGGACTTGGACAAATTTACGACAGCGCCTCAAACCAGATTCAGTAACCCTTCTGGATATCAGAGGCTGGAAGCCCTGCCTGAAGATATTTATTACGCGTTCATTAGGCACTAGAGCAGAGACACTGATGGAATCTGGGCAAATGTCAGCTTGGCAGAGCCTTCACACAAAACCAGACTTACACAGGACCGCCTTCCCACACGTCCAAGGAATGCAATAATTCACACTTGGTAGGTAGGTAGGCACACTTACCATCTACTGACCCTCCTCAGTGCCTGACCTGTTGTTAAAAATGAGTAGGTTTGGGAATGCTGTAGAGTTGTTTACAAGTCTGAAATAAATGCTTCTGCACATCTCTTCCCGGGGCTCTCACAGGGGGTGCTGGACGTGATGGGCAAGCTGAGGGAAGTGTTCACCTCCACATGTGCATAAATCAGGAGAGCTCAGTGAACTACTAGGTACCAATCAGTCACTGAAGGGTAACACACTGCTTATTATGGGTTATTGCTTCAGAGAACAGCAAGGCCTAAAACCCTCCAAGTGTTCCCTAGCAAGTGGGTGACATAAGATTATACCATCAAGTTTTCCCTTTTAACTAAAACTTTTTATTGCTATCTAGAGGCAGATGACCCCAGTAGTGATCACATTTTAAACTACAGTCAATTCTCTACATTTACACCATCTTGTAGGAGGGAAGGATCTGAGACCAAGCTTCGATGAGAAGGGTAAATGAATTTGGGGGCCTCACTAGACTGAGCTGGGACATGGGGTTCGAAGCAGGATAAAGTTAGTTTTTATTTGACAAATCAGTCTAGAATCTGAAGAACAGAACAAACAATATCCTTTCCACACATCACAGAGCTCAACGCCCTCCTGCAGCTCAGTACAGCACACAATGGAACAGGGAAATGGGGGTATGAGGGTAAACCACCTCGGGCCTCCACCTCCCCACCTCACCTAGTGGAGTAGAGATGGTAATAATTACCTCACAAGTTTGCTGTGAGCATTAAATTATATAGTAAATAACTTCCTAGCCCTCAAAAATACCATCCAACAGACATCTTAAAAAGCAGCCACCTCATGCTCAGGGAGACAGGCAAGACAGCACCCATCTTCCTGCAATGCATGGTCAAGTTTTCCTCTATCGATAGAACTCTCGTGCGCAAATCCCTAGGGACTGCCTTTTGAAAGGGGAGCTGGCCCCTTCCCGCCTCCCAAACTGTAACCCCACCACCTAAAACTGCAAAGAACAAACGCCCAGCAGCTTATCTTCTTTAAGATTTCTCACTAGGCCATTTATGTTTCTCTTAGGGGATGCTGACTCAACACTCACCACAATGGATGGTCCTGTGGTGATTCCTGTGTGTACGCCAGAAAAAAGAAAAGCATACAGAAGGAGAAACACCAATTCTGTGGTGGGGAAGACAAACCAATTTCAAAAATGAAAGTTTCAAGGGCTCTACTGAAGACCTTACCACTGTAGTTGTGCAGCATTATTTCCAACATCACCAAAATTATGGAAGCTTTGACAAGAGAACCATCCTTTTTTATAGTTAAGTGAAGGGATTTTAGGCTTGAGGGCTGATCTAGTATAATCTCCTTGCTTACAAATAGGAAAACTGAGGCTCAGGGAGCTGAGGTGACATATCTGGGTTTACAGAGCCCATGAGGAGAGCAGGGCCGTCCTTGAAGTCAAGTCTTAACTGGAGAGACCAGCAGGCAAACAATTACAAGTGGAAAGAGAAAGCATGTATGTCACTTGAAATAAAGGCATTTCTCTTTGAAAACCATTTCTTTAAAATGCACTGTTTGAAATGGGATGGATGCCCCAGAAGAGAGTTTAAAATCATTTTTTTGTGGCACAGCATCTGAGAAATACACTTACGTGAAATAAGGTCAAAGCACTTTTTCTCCTCAGGGTTAGTCTTCACTTGGCAGGTTAATAAGTTGAGCTTTGCAGGAGGCCGGTTAGCCTGTTTAAAAACCAAAAAAAAAAAAAAAACGGAGATGGGTGGGAAGGAATAGAAAATCATACAGTGTCATTCCTCATTAAAATATAGCAAGATCAGGGGTTTCACTGGTTTGCAAGGATAGCTTTCAGCAGGCAGATTTTATGTAGGAAGGCATGACAGAGGCACATCACAGCGTGTCCCTGAACCTCAGCTCCCCAGAGGGCAGCTGCTCCCCCCTGCAAGGGACGCTCGGTGGCCCACACACCCACCCAGACAGGGAGAAAAGTGATGCTGCTTTGATGCCGATGGCGGTGGGCTCCCTGGGATCAAAATGCTCCACGGCTAAAGCTCTGAGACATTCCGTCCTGATTCCTACTAACGACACAGATGGTTGGTGGGGAGACTTGGCCACCCAGCTCAATTTCTGGTGATGTTAAAGTGTTTTTCTGTGTATAAACACTCACTTCCAGGGAAAGTAATCTCACAGCACAAAAATGACATAGAAATAAATTCCCATACTTTCTGAAGTGATGACAGATAATACATTCATAATCCTAAATGCCAACCATCTGTCACCAGTTTCAACAAAACCCACGTCATTCACATACATATTCCCCAACCTCTCCCACCCTACAGTGTTAAGAAGAGGTCACAAAACATTTTTGTCAGAGATGTGTCAAAAATGGATATTTTATTACCGTTTCAAAAACTATTATATTTAGTCAAAAAAGGCAAAATGCAGAAGATCAGATGATAATTTCAGAAAAAAAACTTCTGAATAGTAAAATGCCTCTCAGAAATCTTGGAGAAATCTCCAGATACGAATGGGCTTATCATACCCACTTACCAAGCTACTAAAGGAAAGATCAAATAAAATGTCTTTGACGTCAATTGTTCTTGTTTGCCCCTTCCTGTGGCCACCAGACGCCATCAGGAAATTATAAAAGCTTGGATTTGGGATTGAGATCCACACACACATGCAGCTATACCTGGGCAGACCTGCGAGACCCGCATGCATTTACAGACCTCTCTCCACTAAACTCACAGAGTCGGGGTGAGGGAGGGTGGTCTCCGTTACAACAGGACTGATCCTTGCAGTGTGAACAATTTGGGTCGGAAAAAAGGAAGTTTGGATAAGCAGAAGTTGGATAAATGGGGTTGAACTAGACTCTCCCAGTTTGTGTCCGTGTTGACCTCATCTCTTAAACGGAAGTCACTGGATATTCTCCACAGTCTGTAGATGTCTAATAGAGTCCCTAGATCATCAGAAATCAGTATTAGAAGACTCCAAGCTCTGCCTCATCCTGAAAACCTTGACAATTCCAAGTAAAAGCACCATCAATCCAATTTTGGATCTTTACCAATACAATTACCTGGCTCGTCCAGGAACCAACACGCCAAATGCTACATTTCTACAGTGCCAAGTAAAAGCCCACACTACAGATGCAACCGAACACTTTACCACAGGTGTGGAGCCCATAGAAAGTCTGTCTATTCTGTCACCTCCCGTGACCAAACTGCTGCATACGTGCATTTAGGTGATGTTCTTGGCTTATTTCCAAACTGCTGGTGTCCACTGAGTCTTAGACACAGGAGCAGTAAAAGGGGTTGGTGCACTCTGGTAAGTACAGAAACACTTTCGTGGACAGGAAGATGATTTTGAGTAATAATAATACTTCTACTACTTATATTTACTCAGCTATTATTATTATTATTATGATGTGCTTATATGAGGCAAGTACTGTTCTAAGCATTTTTAATAAATTAACTCATTTAATTCTCCTAACTGCCCTTTGAGGTAGGAACTCCAATTTTATAGATAAAGACACTGGCCTGGACAGACTAAATAATTTGATTACTGGGAGCAGTGAAGCCAACATTGGAACAAGCCAGCCTGGCCCCAGAGCCCAAGCTCTTAACTGCCACTCCCGCCTGCCCTCAGCCCGGCTCTCCATGGAAAGCAGAGTCACTACCTGGATGGTCTTCAAGTACCTTTCAGTGCAGCGAAGAACAACAACGTGAATTAATACCACCCTTCCTCCCTTCTCCCTCTCACTTGTATTCGTTTCCTTGTGCTGTGGGGAAAGTTGTTCATTCCTGCTGAGACCACTACCCACAAAGACAGATTCCTTACTTCATAGTGTATGAACACCACAAAATACGGAAAAATACTCAGTGCCTCTATTTGAAGTAGGAATAATTACAAAGGCACAAATGTGGCTACATACTAAAAAATGATAACCATAAGAACGGGCCCACAAAACACATGAGCTGACCATCTAAAGCGACAGCTGTTCTAAGCTTTACATTAATAATTGCTCGCCATCGTCCATTCAGATTAAGTATTAGCTGACGGCAAAGCTGTAAGAAAAATTTGTGAGAGAAAATTTTTAGAGAACATTTTACACATTAAATTCCCTTCCTGCTGCAATTTGGGAAAAACAGTATCATCATTTAATTCAGCTACAGAAGAGTTCTACCTAATTCATCAGATACCAGTTTTCCTCTAGGGCCTAATTTGAGAAGCCCTAGTTTAGTAGAAAACTCAGGAAGGAGTGAGAAACAGACCTATAGACTTTGTGTTTGCCATGAAGGCATGGATTCTTAGTGATACTCCCATTTTAATCACGCCATTCTATTTTTTTCCCAATTTGTCAGGCCCTTAAAAGGAAGTTTGTATTCTTCTTTCTGCATGATTGATGATCATTTAAAAAAATTTTAGATTGTGTGAGAACCAGTGGACATTTCTTCCAGCTTAACACAGTCCCCAGCCTTTGGCAGTGTGGCAATGCTGTGAATTTGGCAAAGAAGATACTGAATTAGGGTTATTTTGTCCCAAGATCACTTCTTCCCAATGCCAGAAAACACAATTAGCCTTGGCTAACGGGGAATACCATCTCGGGCTTTCAGTGAATTCATCCCGGATGTCAGCATTATCTCTCTGCTAGGGTAGAGAACACAACAATCTCATTTCCCGAAGGCTGCCAGCTTCCTGGGAAGAAATCAGTTTTGCTAACAGTGCAAATACACCCAGTGCTACTTCTCTGCTGAGCGTCAGGTACTACTCTTAGATTCCCATTTGTTCAGTCAAGTCTTTGAAAAATTGCCCCTTTTTTCCTGATGGTAAATTAGCACACTCAGGGAGACGCTGGCTAAATAGGTAAGCCACAAAAGGAGCCAAAGCAAAACAAAACCACACAAAAAGGGCATCTCTCAACTCTCGTTCTCATAGAGGCTAACACACATCGCCGCACACAAACGCTCTGTAGGTGCAGTAGCACAGGGGTGTCAGGATTCTGCCTTCCAGGGCATGCAGAACACAGGGAAAGGAGAGAAGAGGAGCACTCTGCTCTGGAAGGAGGGCTGCTACATGAACCCACTTATTTTTCTGGCAAGACAGAGGGACGGAGCCCCCTCTTGCCACTCCTCTGGCCTGGGGATAACGGTTGCTCCGGCAGCTCCCAGACCAGGCTGTGAGGCAGGAGGAGGCATCTGGGGAGCAGAGATTCCCTAAAGGGTTCCCCCAAACACAAAGCATTTATTCAACATGCGAATGGTGTGACAAGCTGAGCTGTCAGCGTGCTGGTGGAGCTAGCTGTAACTGTACTATCTGCCAAAAACTGGGGCAACCCATCGACATTTAAAGAGAACTAAGCCTCCATGTCTTTGAGAGGAAGCTCAAGCAACGGAAATGAAAGGAACCCAAGTTCATGCTGTCAGCACAAGATTACCAGGCCTGCTGTCATTTCTGTCATGGAGGGAGGACCACTCCTTGGCTTAAGCTGAGGCCCTGGGTCTAGGGGAACACTTTAATGAAGCAAATACACCAAATGTCTTAAGAGCTGTAAACAAGCATGAAATGAAACTCAGTCTTATTTTATGGAATTTTCTGCATTAAAGCAGTAAACCTGAGTTAAAACAACCGAGCAGAAAACAATTTGAAAGCAAACCAGAGAATCTCAGGTGTTTAGAGCACGAAGGGAACCTGGCCATCATCCAGTCGAACACTCTTAATTTTAAAGAGGAGGGTGACTAAATAAATTTGCTTCCCTTCACCTACAGCACTCACACTCTGACACACACGCACACGTCTACATGGAAAGAACAGGACATCGGGATCCAAACTGCATGGCCCCACGAGTGACGTGGTGACCACAAACAAGGCCAGTGAAGGCTGGATTTTGGAAAAGTGAAATGACCTTTATTTGCCCAGGCAAGAGACACATTCAATCCCCCAGGCCAGAGGTCCCCAGAGAGTCCTACAGACGACACTTGGTATCTGCTAGTTCTACTGTCTCTCTTCCTTCCCAAAGTAGAGTCAGTGAAAATGAAGGGCCCCCAGTGGAACACACTCCACACTGCAGGGCCATCCTTCAAGTGGGGTTTTATTCTATGTCCTTATTCCGAAGTACTGAGGAGGGCTGCTTCTCTGGAATCTCCTCTGAGCCAGGACCTTTCCATAGGGGCCTCAAAAGCCCATCTGTGCTCCTGCCCAGCTCCGCCTGTCACCAAGGGAACTGGTGGGAAGAGGGAAAGTGAAGACGAAGACCCAAGTTATCTCCACTACCATCCACTCATAGGACTAAGGCTGCTGATAAGCACAAGGTACCAGGCCTCTTGCTTGGGCTGCAGAAATGCAAGCTATCACCCGTGTCTCATTAGCAACAAAATAGCAACCAACTCAGCCTTTAGACATTTTCATAAATGTCTAGCAGCCTAGGTGGTTTTCACCAGATCCTGTCACACCAGGCAAGCTGATAATATGCCTCATGTCACCGTGGAAAAGAGCACCATGGTGTGAAGGGCTGTGTTTGTAAGGGTGGTTAAAATCCCTGGTCTCCGAAAGCTAGATTAGTGAGTCATTTGATTCTGATTGGTTTTTAATAGGCCCAACATACGGGGCTCAGTTTTCCTGCACGGGCATTACACATAGGATGACACAAAAAGGACCTGATTAAGGTTGGCGCAGTGTGTTAGATTTCTACAATAAAATGACTGAACTCTCTCTTCTCTTAGAGTTCTGATTCCCAGAGTCTTGACTACTTAAACGTTTTTCCCTTAATGGAGAAGTAGAAATCTTTCCAAGTGCAATGTTCAATTTCTAAAAACAAAGCTAGCTGGGGAGAGGTTTGCTGTTCTTTTGTTTCTGGAAGTCACAGGCTTTTAAATAAAGACCACCTGGTTCATCAGGTGTTTCTGAATGTTCTGATAGCTAGTGAAGACACCAAGACTCTCCCTGGCTGGAGACGGCATAAGAGGGTGCAGGTGTGCAGATCGAGAAGCAACCCAAACCAGCTTTTCTCAGCAGGGCAGTTCTCTAAAATGCATCCATACTGCGTAACACACGTAGAACCACTGCGTCCTCTTACCTCACTGAGTTGAGTTCTTCACTCACTCATCTCACGGAAGCAGGGAACACGAATTAAAAGAGAATACTTACGGTCCCATGGGAGATGGTCAGAAAGCCATTTTTAACAGAACATTTCCTTTTCTGCCACACTTTTCGGATCCTTACAGATAAATGGGAAAAAAAATAAGAGTTCAGAAATTCTGGACACAGGAGATAACGAACACATGTGCAAACTCCAGCAACGCCATTCCACGTACCCATCACTCTTCTTATAGAGGTTGCCGTTCCGCTCGGTTCCGTGTTCTTTGTTTCCCTGAGGCTGATGTAAGCTATAGGCTGTACTCTGGCGAATCTGTAAATCCTAAAAACCATCAAGAAGTCATTTTTAATTCTGTCCAGATTTAAATTTTTAAAAAAGTAGTACACAAAGAAAACTTATGCCCTTAACTTTTTAATCTTTTAATTATAGAAATTTCCCCTTCTCACCACACCAAAAAGGGGACAAAAAATTTCCTATCCAGGAACTCATAAACGCTACCTACCAGGGTGGAGAAGAAAATGTCAAAAACTAGTATTCCCAAACTGGCTGAAAGAATGAGCCATCTGGAAGTTACAGGTTTTCCTTAATTATGAGCCTTAAGTCCCTGATAACGACAAGAAGCTCCTGGTGTGGCAAAAGCAGTCCTCAAGAAGGAAGGTGGCAGGATGTGTTGGAAAAGGCAGTGCTTTCAAGCAAAAAACAAACACAATGCTCTGCTTCTTACTTTCGGCAAGTTACTTAGGCTCCCTGCCTCAGTTTCCTCCTTGGAAAATGGGAAAACAATACCCAGTAAGGATGATAAATATAGGAAGGCCTGACTAAGACCACAGGTGTGAACACCTGGTGCATAACAGGTATTGAACCATATTCCCTTCCTGACCCCATCAATCCCAGCAGAGGGCCCTGAACCTAAGTGCCTCAGCCTCAGGGTAGCCCATTCACTGGTGAGCAGAGAATCTGGTTGAGTCCACCAAACTGGGAAAGTCCAGCCTGCAGCTTCTTAAGGGCAAGGACCATCAGTGAAACCCTGGACATCCAACAGGTGCTCCACTGTGTTTAACAGGTGGCATCAGAAGTCCTGAGCTGAGAATGGAAGGAGCAGCCAGTGCCAGCATGGAAATTCTAGCAGACATAAAGGAAGCAAAACGTGACAAAAAGTTCACAGGTCAACCAGGCAGGGCTAAGATCTGGCTCTGTTATTGAGAACCCCCGATCCAGGCCATTTTGTAACAGAAGAAACAGAATCACAATGTAAATAAGTGATTTGCTCAAGATTCAGAGCTCGTTGGAGTCAGAGCAGAGGATGAAGAGAATTCCGCCTCCCACTCTCATGCTCTTCCCTTACACCATGTGCCCTCACCAGGCCTCACCAGTTCCAAGAGACAAGGGTCAGTCTCATCTCCACCTTCAAGCAGCTGACCATCCTTGGGGAAACTAGGCAGTGCCCAAACAATGAAAGAACTAATGCATGACAATCAGTGTGATCAGAACTGAGAATAAGAGGGTTCAAGAAGTGAAGAGTCAAACAGGAGAGCCTGGAGGAAGTGAGTTAAAGATGAAGGCAAGAACTGGCAGAGAATAAGGGGAGGGTATTTAAGGCAGAGGGGATGCACACAGAGGCACAGAGAGGAAAGGTGGCAGCTGTGGCCACTTTCCAGGAAAATAAGGACACAGTGTAGCTAAGATAAAGTGGGCCAAGTGGTAGAGGGGACAGATAGGCTGGAATCAGAGTTGAAACTTCATCTGAAAGCAACAGCAAGCCATCTAGATTCGTGACAGTTTTAAAAAAGATTTTTGAAGCACAAAAGTTTTCAATTTTTGATGAAGTCCAATTTATCTACTTTTGTTGTTTCAACTTTAAATGTCAAATCTAAGAAATCACTGCCTAATCCAAGGTCATGAAGACTTATACCTATGTTTTCTTCTAAGAGTTTTATAGTTTTAGCTTTTACATTTAGGTTTTTGGTCCAATTTGAGTTAATTTTTTTATTATGGTGTGAAGTAGGGGTCCAAATTCATTCTTTTGCTGTGGCTATCCAGTTGTCCCTGCATAATTTGTTGAAAAGACGATTCTTTCCTCATTGAATTGTCTTGGCACCCTTGTTGAAAATCAATTGACCAAAAGTGTAAGGGTTTATTTCTGGAGTCTCAATTCTTGATCTATACGTCTATCTTTATGCCAGTACCACACTGTCTTGATTATTATAGCTTTGTGGTATGTTTTGAAATCAGGAAGTGTGAGTCCTCCAACTGTGTTCTTCTTTTTCAAGATTGTTTTGGCTATTCTGGGTCCCTTGTATTTCCATATGAATTTTAGAATCAGCTTGTCAATTTCTGCAAAAAGGCAGCTAGGATTTTGATAAGGATTGCACTGAATCTGCAGATCGATTTGGAGAGTATTGTTATCTTAGCAATATTAAGTCTTCCAATCCATGAACATGGGCTGTCTAGCACTGACTTTTTAACTCTGAAATACGTATGGGATAACTCTGCAAAAAAAAAAAAAAATTCATCTGAGAAATGAATAATATCAATTCAATTCAGACTATCCATTATTGAATTGACAACAGAGCCTGAACAAGCAGACTCCAAACTAGGAGAAATGTCCTCGTTTTTCACGGGGAGTTCGTGCAGCACTCATGCCTCCAGACAATCAGGGCAAACAGCTCGTTCATCAGATGAGGATGGTCTCAGTTTCCACCTTCTCTCACAAGGGCCACCTATTAGCACTAGAAATTTAGAGCAACCCGAGCTTTAAACATCACAGGGAATAAATGCAGTGGAGGGGAAATGGAGAAATACTGCTCACCTATATGAGTCTCTGTGAATGACTAAAAGTAAACCTGTCAAAGACTAAACTGCACAACCAAGAAATACATCTATTGATTTGGTGAGAAAAGAAAAATCCTGCACAAAATAGGTGGCGAAATCATGTGACAACACTGCTAAAAGTGTTCATGCCAAGCATATTAATCAGAACTCTTTATAGGTCTTATGAACAGGATAAAGGACATTCCTCTTTTTCAACAGAATCAGACTCTATGCCAGAAGTTAAGGAAGAAATTACTGTTTTATTCTTTAGACAAGGCATTTCTTGAATCAATTAAAAAATGCAGGCAAACCTGAAGCTGTAAAATTTAAAATTTGTAAATAAGAGAAATATAATCTGTTGAACATAAAATTGAACCTGCTTTAGAACTAATTATTTCAGCATCTTCAAGGTGACTTTTAGGTGACCCAACAAAAAAAGCTTTTCTTCACCTGTTTGTGCAACACCTGATGAAGTGAAGGGGTGACAAAGAAAGTCAGCCCTTTCACAGAATCAAGATTTCAATTTAATGGAATATAATCCAAGAGAAAAGAGCCTTTCTTTCTGGGGAGAAGAAGAATCTAACATATAGATTAGGCAAATACAGGCAACTGGCCAGGGGAGACCACGTTGCCCTGATTCTCGGAGACTCTCCAATATTCTGTGTTTCCCTAGGAGAACCAAGGACGACCTAAGATTTGGTTGAGTGAGTCTCGCCGTGTGGAAACTGTATGTCTAAAGCACATAGGTTAAGTGGGCATTTTACGGACTTTTAGAAGGCTCTCAAAAAATTCTATCAATGTCCACAGATCCTCTATCCTGTGACATGCAGACAAGTTCTCAGATTCCAGGCAACGCCCACGATCTTAAGTTTTGTGTGGCCTTATGAAGTGTTAGCTGTTGGGTCCTGCCAAGAGAAACTGCCCAGGTTAGCAGCAGACTTAATATCTGGAAAGGAGAGGCAGGGAAGTGGACACCTGGCCAGAGGGTTCTGATTAAGGCCAGATTCAGGAATGATAAGATATGCAGGCCCAGACCAGAAAAGTTCGAGTCAGAAGAAAATTACAGCTGTCATGGGCCTCTGCTACCAGGACAGCACATCCTGTTCAACCACATCCTGCCAGTCAAGGACACTTGAAAGCAAAGCTGACAAAGAGAGAGACCACACTTGAGATCTCCAAAGTGGAAAAATCACTGTGGTTTCAGCACTCAGACCTACCAAGACCATCTCCCAGAGCCTAAATCCTCCCCGCAGTAGCACAGTCTGGGTTCTCAACATCAAAGAGCAGCGAGCCCACATGCCAATAATGTGGCTCTGGCAGAGAATCTGCCAGCACAGCAGTGGGATCTGTCCTGGCAGAACTCCACTGAGATGGACATTCGTGGGATGGGGAAGGCAGGAGAAGGTAAGGCTGACAGGGAGAAGGCTCAAGCAAAAATGAGCAGTATTGAAGGGTTTTAACTTTGTAGAAGGGATCTTTTCCAAATAGTAAAACTATGGTGCATATATAGGTATTCATTGAACAAGTTTTCAACTTTTCTGTAAGTCTGGAAATTTTCATAATAAAATAATGGAAAAATCAAACAGTAGTATCCTCTTTACACAGAGAAGAAATTATCAATAACGAAACATGAATGTCAGTGATTCAGAGGTGTGGGGGCACTGGGATCATAATGGCACAGTTTCCTTTCCAAAATGTAACCCCAGGTGACAAAGAGAAGCAGCTCAAAGTCACCATATGTAATGGCCACGTTTCTCCCTTAGATCAAAGCTTGAGATTTACAGGAAGGAAATAGAAGAGTAGCTCCTACTATCAACAGTTTCCCTGGGGCATGTTACCTAATTTTTATGAACTGTAATTATCTAGTCAGAATTTTTGTTAACACTGAATAAAATCCACCAACACCTTCAGTTTTCTAAGTCACAGAAGAGAATTCAAAAAAAGGGAATGAGAGCCTAAACAACAAGGCCCACATATTCAATTCTCGTCATTGGAGAGACACAAAATGGAACCCCAATTATAAAAATTATTTTAAAATATGTAAAATTTAACATACATATTTATCTATTACTTGCAATTCTGTTGGAAGTTCTGGCTGTTCACAGTCCAATTTACGGAATACCATCATCAAAAAACAACACAGAGTGTGATATACAGAAAATACAATACAGTCACACCCAGGAGACTGGTGAGGTCGGTCTTGGGACATAAAGCCTAAGAGCAGTAAAAAAGTTCACGGATCCCTCTCTGCGGTCTGGGGCAGATGGGCTGGTCAACAAAAACCACAAAAACAACAAACCATAAAAGACTTCTGGTCTGCGCTGGTAAATCTGTTATGCTTTTCTGCAAAGCTACTGCAAATCTGCTTTCTGACAACAGCCAGTTTTCCCAAACCTCCTAATTTTGCACAGCCAAAGCCAATGTGGCCCTTACATTGTGCCCAGAGTGCTGCCCAGAGTGCTAGTGAACTCCGTCAACTGCTCTCCTTTATGTTAAACCTGAGTTTTGCTTCAGGGGTTTGATCCTCCTTCTCAGACAGAAGCTGCTTTCAACCACTCCCATCAATGCACTGGAGAGCCGGCTGCCTTGACGGTGTTCTGGCTCCCACGTTAGCACTACCTCTTCCAGTTACAATTGGGCCACTATTTGCTCCGTATTCCATACACTTATTTTTTATCTTTTTGCTTATATCCCATGTTTGGGAATATCAAAGTGTCAGGACCTATATTCTCTTGACTGGGACGAAGTCACCATGCTGTCGGCAATTTCTAGCACTTCATATAACCTCAACCTGCCAATCTCTCACTTAGCTGACCCACTAAATGAGCAATATGGTACTACAATATGATAGCCGGAAAGGCACAGAAGGCAGGAGGGCATCCGCAAGCTGCTCAAGGTCCAGCTAGAGAAAAAGCATCTGTGCACTTGAGGACGCAGCCAACAACTCAAAACGAATATGCTGTGATTGAACCAAGTCTTTCAAACAAAATGTGCTATATGAACTCAGAGCACTGGGACTAGGGTGAGCAGAGGCAGCTCTCCAGGTGTGGGGCTTAAGATGGACTAGAAGGACATGTAGAATTCAGCTATGCAGTGGAAGGGGAGGGGGCGAGCTCTTCATTTCCACAAAGGAGCAATGGCAAAAGTGTAAACTGTAAACTTGGAAAATTTCCATTTCACTAATATTTGTGCATTTAAATTCTTTAGCCTTTCATAAAACCCACTGCTACTGAAAGAGGAAGGGTTAAAATTAGAAATGCTACTAGCCATTAATCTATACATGAAAGAAATATTTATTTTTTGAAGTTCACGAAGAAAACATGCAAATTCTCCAATTTATTAAAATACTGAACTACTTACTCTCCTAGACTTCGGTCACAAAAGGTAAATGCATTTGGGAGAAAAACAACAACATTCAGTAATAGTACAAGAACTTAAAACAAAATAGAGCATACCAAACTGCCAACAGCGGACTATATGCTAGCTAAGTAGTTTAATAGAGTTATTTATCTAAAATCTACTAGCTATATATTTAGACATATTCCTTTATTGACAAAGCAGTGGATTTACATTAAATTTCACATTATAGTATCCACACTATAGAGAAGATATCATAAAATTACCTTGAAAATTTACTTTTTAATGGTTATTTATATGAGCCCCTAAAATACAAATTATCACCACGAATGTGTTAGCATGCAGAGAAGTGATTATATGAAAGAGATGATGCAGGAGAAACTAAGGTTTTCTGCCCATTGGAATGCAGCTGGAAGAAAATCTATCTCCTCACGTTTTACAAAACACAGTCTCAGGGCTGGAAGATTCAGATGGTCACCTGTCACCTGCTGATGCCCATGTGGGCAGAGGCCACGTGTATCAGGCAGAGAAACCACAGAGTTCCAGGTAGAAAATCAACGGCATAAATAACCAGTGTCTGTGCGATAGAGATGCTAAGAGCTACTCATCTAGCAATTGACAGAGCAAAAAAGGTTTATACACTGCCGTTAAGGCCATGCCTACTGTAAATGCTTCCCCCCATGAAATAAGCATATTTTAAAGAATAAACTAAATATTTTGGTGCTGCCTGACATAGCCCCACTCCTCAGTCCCAAAGCCTCTGAGACATAGGTAGAAAATCCTGATCTTTCAAAATTAAATCCCCTCACCTCTTTCTGTTCAACTTGCAGTGCTGATTTCAAAATGTCTCGAAGCTGTATCAACTGCCTTCTTTCTTCATCCTGGGCCTGTTTGATCTTTAAAAAACAAAACAAAACAGAGAGAAGCCTGACTGAGGTACAGTGAATTGCTGGCGCTCATAGGGCATTTCCACATAAATGAAATGAACGCCTCTGTCACTAGTCAAACCTTCGCCAACCAAGACAAAGGACGGGAACAGGAACTCTGTACTCCAAGTGGCACTGCCGGGCTGTTAGTCTGTGATTGTGCATCACGCAAACACAAGATTGTACAGAAGCAACATTTAAGTGAAAGTGTTTGTCGCATAAAACCGGTTTCAACACTGATGCGGGAGGGGAGACACTTACTGTGTGCAGATCTGTTGAAAGTGTTTCAATGGAAGGTTTGAGGCTTTCAACTGCTTTCAGTCCATCCTGAAAAAAACTAGGAGAAAAAAGAAGAAACACAGATTGTGTTTCATAAAAGAGAAAAAAATCTTGTTAGAGAAAAAACTTGTTTAAAGGAAAGTGACTGAAATCATTATTTAATTCCTGGGGGAAAAGACTGTATAAACGGAACCTCAAAATATCAGGCAAACCAAGAATAAAATGACACTCAAAACTATGAGAAGTGAATAGAAAAAGAATTGCAATAAGCCTAAGAATTTGTAATTTTTCTTGACTCATATAAAATGAACCCTAAGTTTTCAGTTTATAATGGGAAACTGGACTCTACTGACAAAAGGCAGCAAAGGCTTTGGTTCAGGAGTGGAAGAGTCTGAAGCCACGAAAACATGGGGTGGAAACAAGGATAAGACACTTGAGAATTTTCCTTGACAGGTGAGAGCTAAATGGAAAAAAGAAAGAATGCAGGAAAAAACCAAGCAAGCTCGCCGCACATGAATGGCCATACCCCGTCTGAAGAGTAGGAACCATGGCTATGAACCTGAGATCAAATATCAAAAGGAACTTTTTTTTTTTTTTAGGCTCAGAACTCAATGCTTGTGAAGTCATTTATAACAAGTGATACCAGAAATACAATCGAAGCTAGACAAGTTTTTCTGCAGCAACAGTACGCTGAGGTTCGGCACTGCCTCTGAAGCGTGTCGTCTACAACCCTTTGGAGAGGAATGAAGAAAAGGTTTCCCAATGTGTGCAAAACCTGTAACAAAGCCTATAATGCCTACGTGATTTGGGCCCTGCCTATGTCTCCAAGCTTCAATCCACATCATTTGCCCTCTTTATTCACTAGGTTCCAGGCACACCAGCCCTCTCTCTATTCTTCTACGGCCGCCAAATCCTTCCTGCCTCAATCCCTTTGCACATGCTGTTTCTTCCCTCTAAAGGCTTCTCCCTGCAGCATATCTTCTGTTTCGTCTGGCTGATTCCCAGTCATTCTTCAAGTTTTAAGTTAAATACGGTCTCGTTATTGAGGCCTTCGGTGACGCCCTACTTTAAAAGAGGTCTCCTTGCTATATTCTCTCAGAACATTGTCTTTTGCTTCAAAACACTTACCACAACTGCCATTATGCATTCATTAGTGTGATTATGCAAATATAATTCCCCCATTAGATCTGGAGTTCTAGTAGGGTAAGGACACAGTATCTACAAACCCTGGCATAGTTCAAGCACACAATATTTGCAGAATGAAGAAATAAATTAATGAAGGAAGGAAGGAGAGTCTCCAACTTCTCCCAGTTTATTGGATACCAAGGAGACTATCTTCAAAAAGTCATCTGGGTTTCACATGTGTTCACGTGAGGGGATGTTTATCACATTAATGTGCCGCAAAATTATGTTTCGGTGAATGAGGGGACTGTGGATCCAACAGTGGTCCCATAAGATTAGTACCATATAACCTAGGTGTGTAGTAGGCTGTACCATTAAGGTTTGTGTAAGGACACTCTATGCAGTTCACACAATGACGGATTGCCCAAAGATGCATTTCTCAGAACGTTATCTCCATTGTTAGGCGATACATGACTGTACTTTTAAATTCAGCAACAATCCTGTGGGACTTTCCCATATCAAGTATGTAATAAACAGGAGGGGTTGTAAAAACAATGCAGCATGACACTTAATACAATAATTCCAAGGAGGAAGGAAGGGGAAACCTACACACAGGATGTGGGTAATGACCATTACTAGCTAGTTATTAAGATTCACAGAAGCTGGGCTATTAGAATTTTCTTACCTTAACCTTTAGATATACGCATAATTATTTTATATTTTCATTCCTATATTCTACCTAACTCATTTTTTTCCTGAATATAGAATATGCCTCTGGTAGAGCAATTGTGTCAGAGTGTTACAATGATTTCTCCACATGTCTGTTTCCACTGTCAGGGCAGAAATGCCACGTCTTATGCATCTCTGTGCCTTTGTCTTCTAGCACACGGCCAGCACTCAGCAGGTTCTCCTTTTAAATTGAAAAGAAAATTTGGAAGAACAAACCCAGCAATAAGAAACGGAGCTCTCCCCTCTCGTCATGAACTCATCTGGTTCTCATGTTCTGTTTCAGTTATATTTTTTCTTTTATAACTACTTTATTAATCACTTCAAGTTCCTGTGAAATAGGTAGGAATGAGAGAGAAAACACTAGGATACAGAGTAGGAAAAACATCACAGGAGATCAACGCGGAAATGGTCCTGCTCGTGGGAACGGGAGCAGGTGCACAGCTCCCAGGATCTCTGTGCTGGCGACTGTCCCCACAGTGAGGAGAGCCAGGTAGTGGAGTTAGACGTTCAGAGAAGTGTGTCTCGTCACAGAGATGGGTTCCAGCGTGACACCGGACAGTGCACTTGGAATAACGATACAAATTTGCATTTCATCTTTGTCATCGCCTAGCCAATCTTAATCATCTACCTGGAAAACCTCCTCCCTCTGATTCTCAAAATCCCTATCTTTCTGTACCCTCCTTACTGAGGCATGTTTTGGCACCTAGGTATACCTTCACTGAGTGCCATCACTGTGACATTCCCAAGCACAAACTCCTGGCACATTTTTCTTAGGTTGAACCCATTAACACTTTCCTAAGCTTCAGTGAAACACTATTTACTATCAACATTACCAAATATCAAATTTTGTTTTTTATTAAACGTTTTCTAGCCTGCCTGACCAAGTTTTCCAGCCTTAAAAATATACCCACTGAGATTTAATCTTCAAGCTCCCACCAGGCAGGGTGGCCTCTCCCTCCTCCTGCAGCCTTCACAACAGTGCACCATACTTACGGCAGTGACCTGTCTGCCCTCTGCGTCCTGGCCATCCCTCTCACTAGAGCAAGCTTCTCCAGGGCACCGGACCCATGTCTCATTCAACTCTGTACCCCAAGTTCATCAAGCAGCAGCTCGTCATAGTGGTTCTCAGCAGGTATTTGCTCAAAGAACAAGTCCCTTCAACACTCATTACCACTGTTTAGAACATGACCATTTTCTTTGTTTTATTATCCTTTTAAAGACTGTCCTATTTCTAGATTCCATTAGAGAATAGGATCCTCAATCTTCAGCAGCAAAAGCTAGTAAGATAAATTTTCGGGATATTCCAGGAACTAGAGATGCAAACTCTTTCCCTAAATGAAATAAAAGACAAAGAACATGAAATGCTCTTCAAGAATGCTTAAGGTGGGGCCGGCCCCGTGGCTTAGCGGTTAAGTGCGCACGCTCCGCTGCTGGCGGCCTGGGTTCGGATCCCGGGCGCGCACCGACGCACCGCTTCTCCGGCCATGTTGAGGCCGCGTCCCACATACAGCAACT